ATATATAAGACTGAAATCTTATGTACATGATTTTGGGAATAATCCTACCCAATTCAGTGAGATGTATTTCCAAGTAAATGTGCATAAACTTTTGCTGCATATGTCCTTTTATCTTAATGAATTCTTATATTGTACCTTAATTGAAACACCAAAGACGCTGCATGTCAAGTGATAGAGATCAGTCCCAGTTTCCTTTTAAACCTATACAGACTAGTTTATCAATAGAAAGCATCCATGTCTGGAAAAAAAGTAATTTCCTTGAAATCTTTGTTCTAATAGTCCAAATTCCAGTTATTTCATACACACACCTTATGGCACTTACCATTATGGCTCACTTTTGTTGTTAGTGGATCATCTTATCTTTCTGATGAAATTCTGCATAATTTTCCTTCTGCCATGCTGGGTTAGGAAAAAACACAAGTAGGAGAACAGTTTTAACAACATGCCTTCTTGTTCTTCTTGTAGAAAATGTATCAAACAATATATTGCTCAAAATAAAGTTCAAGTTAGACACATACAGTTGTGTAATGAGAAAATGCATGACAGTAACACTCCACCATCAAGTTAACCTTTAAAAGAAAGAAACATCATCCTGTGCTTTAATATAGTGAGCCATTAGTTCAGGCAGCAGAGAAGCTACCATTTCCACTAGCTTCAGGCAATACCAAGAAAAGTTCCCAAAGTCAATTAGACTCATAGCTTGCATCATGCTGGAAGCCTTTGGTAAAGCATTTAAACATTCTATTATTTCCATGGCAAAAGCTGAATCACCATTGGCAATCTCAGCAAAGTTAATAGCAAATAAACTATGTAGCCATCCTACATTGTCACTGGATTCCTGAAATGGATTTGAGCTTTTGCTCCCAGTGATTTGTGGGGCACAAGCCTGTCCATTATTACTTATTGAAAGCTTTCTAGAAAACATATCAGAAATTAATGTTTCAAAAATGCCCTTGGTCTTTTTCCCGGAGGGTCTCAATTATCAGTAAAAAGGGAAGCAACACCCAGTAGAGACTTACACCGTTTATTTTGCATGCAAAAGAGGACAGCAGCATAGCTCATGTCCAAAAGTGGAGCTGACAAAAAACAAAGGTTTGGGCATGGTCTTTATAGATTACAGATCGGCAAGCAGTTACTGCACATGTCCAGGAGCTCTCTCTCTCTTCAATCCTGGCCTCCCACGTCAGGGCATCTTTACAAGAGTGAGATCTTGCAGCTAGGAGTTTTGCTGGTATTTTCTAAGAATTGTTTTTTGTGGCATTTGGGGTCTTGCTAGATGTCTCCCAGACCTAGTTTGTGGTTCGATTTAGTGAAGGTCTTCTGAGAACTGCTTCCCCTTGACATTGGTGGTTATGCTAGGTGTTACCTTCCAAGTGTCTAGGTGTCTTAATTTAGTTTCTAACTGACTGATCTGCAGCCTTAGACATGTAAAGCTTTCACTGATCTACAGCTTTAAACACAGAGCCTCCATCAGGAGCTGCTTTCACCATCTTCAAAGCTATTGTTAAAGCTACCCAGAGGACTTTGGCCCATGGCCTGGCTGAGGCCATGGTTGCTGGGTCACAGAAATGGTCTGCGTATGATCTTCTTGAAAGATACAGCAAGCAAGCATCATTACAGAATAGCTGCCCTTTTTCTAACATTAATACTTAAAAGTACAAATCATACCTAAAGGCCTAAGATAATCTTTGTGAAGATTCTATTAATTATGTTTCTCCATTCAAAATGCAATTAGTTGCCAGTCATCATGAGATGAACTTTCTTTTTCCAAACCTCATTACAGTAAAAAGTAATTAATGAAAAAAGAAAAAAACTATTGCAGACAAATTAATATCCTATGGTGGGATTGACTAAATTTAAAAATAATCTGTCTTTTGATTTATCCATAATAAAGGTATGGAATTACAAAAATAACTTAGGAGTCTGGTCCAGATAACTTTTAGATTCCAAGTAATTTGAGAAGCAAGGTTAATAATCTCTAGTAACAGAATGTTTACCCAGTACACATGGTAAATTTCCATTAAAATATGGCAGCTAAACATTTCACAAACATGAGGAATAACCTGCTCAGGGCAGCAACTAACAAAACAGCAAAGGGTCAGCTGAATGTTGGTACTACATAAATTCTTAAAGTAACATTGGATAAAACTAAAACTAACTGGCTGCAGAAAATGGGAAATCTTTATGCCTGATCTTATATATTCCTATATGCATTTGAAAAATAATCTGTAGGGAAAAGATGCCTGGGAACTAAACAAGGCTGGTGGTACAATGTACAAGATTTTGCTTAGACTTCATCATAGGCACATCCATTCCCATCTTCATGATAGTTAACATCCAATTACCAGCATAACTGGCTAATGGGGAAATTGTCTCAGTTCACAGAGCAGCCCATTGTGGAAGTTCAGAGTAGACAGTTATTCCTGTATGTAGATCCTCACCATCATTCTTGTTAAGGTAGCCAGGAATTTGTTGCTATTATTTCATATAGGTCCTGCTTGTAGGCTTTCTAGAAGCATCTGTTGGTTACTGTAGCAAACTGTAGCAAGACAGGCCTTTGTTCTGATCTATCAGGATTCTTACGTTTATAGTACATCAGATCACCTGGGAATTTCTTTGCAGATATTAAAACTGTAACATAGGAAAAAGGCTCACTAGGTACTCTGCTGTGTAACACACATCTCTATGGCTCCATTTTTGTGAGGGATGTATATGGAAACATGTTCCATATAAAAAGCCTCACCCTTGACATGGTATTTAACTTGAAGGCATAACAATTTGGAGTTAATGAATCTGTCTAAAACAGCAAAACTTATTGGCTGGGTTCAAACAACATGGCAAGCCATGGTGGTTTTTGTTTTTAACCACTGTTGGTTTCTGGTGTCATCTGAGCCATGTTGTGATATTTCAGAATGATAGCTTTGGTCTTTAGAAACCATGCATTTAAGCAGGAAACAAGAGCAGCAGTTTAACTATTGAATAATAAAGGAATGCTAAATAAAGGAATGCTAAAGAACGCTAAGGAAATTGCACAGAAACCAAATTAATTATTTTCATCTGTCTTCACCACTGAAGATATAGGACAGATCCCAGTGCCTGAACTGATGAACTAAGACTGTTAGTAGTGACAAAAAGTGAAATTCTCAACTTGATTAACAAACCAAAATAAATAAAACACAGTGGCCAGCAAATCAAATTTGACATTGTTGACCTTCTTACAAAAATATTTATCATGGTGATATGATCGTGCTGTGAACTGGAGCTCTGGAGAATGGCCAATTTAAGGGATCTGGGGGTGGGGAAATCTAGGAAGTTATAAGCTGGTCAGATTAATGTCTGTTCTGGGTAAATTGATTGAAAGTATCACTAAAGATAGAATTGGGAAGCATATAGAAGAATAAGCCTTATTGAAAAAGAAACAACAGGGCTTTCACTGAGGTAAATCCTGCCTCACTAATCTTTTAGAATTCTTTGAGACTGCCAATAAACACATGGACAGCTATGTTTAGTGAACTTCCAAAAGACTTTTGACTAAAAGGGATTGTGAAGAACTCCAAAATGATCTTTCCAAACTGTGAAAATGGGCATTTAAATAGCAAATTAGGTTTGAATAGAAGCAAGTGTAAAGTAATGTGCACTGGGACAAAAAAAATCCATCTTGATCTTGTAGTAACTGATAAAGGAAGTGATTAGGTTTGGTTGACAGCTCAATGAAAATCCCACCCTATTTTGTGGCTGCTGTAAAACAAAAAGGCAAACTCCATGTTAGTCATAATTCGGAAAGTAATTGAAAAAATGAAAGCTCCAGTATCATACTGTCCTTATAAAAATGGATCTTATGACAGCATTTAGAATATATTTTTATGCAGTTCTTGTTCTCACACAACAGAAAGAAAGAAAAAAAGATTTGATGAACTATAAAAGCTGCAGAGAAGGGCAACTAAAAACGATCAAGGGGTTGGAGTGTTGGAGCAACTCCCCCATTTGGAAAGGTTGCGACACCTGAGACTGTTTAACTTAGAAAAATGTAAAGGGAAACTCTCCTCTTGTATACACACCTCAACATAGTGAGGGGGGTTTGAAATTGTCAGAGAAGGTGAGAGCAATGCTGCCAAGAGGCCAGTTTCACAAGAAGTTCTTGTTTAAGTAATTACAAGAAATACAGGTCTGAATTGTTTTCCCCAGTACAGATTTCCAGCAAAATGTAGGGAGGGGAACATGGTTCTATGTTTATTAAAATTCCTTGTGTTTAAAAACTAATAATGTTTCCCCACCCACGTTAGCGGCAGACAACCTGATTGTCAGCCTGAGTTCTACAAACTGTGCTGGCTGAGAATCTCAAACACAACCCACCTGTATTATCGGGAAGATGCGAACGAAATTTGCTTAGCCAGGCAAGTACGTTTTATAGTCAACAGGACTTTGACAAATAAGCTAGCTAAAGCCGAGAGGGTTAACTGGCTGATGCCGTTTACTTGTTTTTGTAATTGTCATTTTTTGACCTGAATTTTATCATTAGTAACCTTGAGCACACTTTTATCAGGAAGGAAGGATATAAATTAATAAAGTTTCATCCATCATTTTGATTGTGATGGATTGACAAAGCTGAGTGAAACAACAAGGTTTATGTGCTAATACTAAACCCAGCTGGAGCGGCGGAAGGAGCAGAGTTATGAAACACAAAAACGTTTTCAGAAGCCTTAGCAGCGCTGCTGCTGCTTTTTTAACAGCGTGCGTCCTTTTTTTCCTCCAGACACCGACACAACACAGAATATCCCGAAGCAACGTATTCCCTTTGCGTCTTCCTTGTCTTCGCGACGGTTATAAACTGCCTCCTCTTGTTTTGAAGGGGCGCGTGGTTCTTTCCTATTGGCTACTGTCTATGTCCCGCCCCTTTCATAAACCAAGTCTGAGGTTGAGAAATATAACGGGAGAAAGATGACGGTGTCGTACTACACTTCCCAAAGCGCTTTGCGCGGCAACTTGGAGGGTAGGTCAGCCGTCCCTTCTATGTAGAGGGAAGAGCTTGCGATAGGGCGCGCGCGCGAGGAGAAGAGGGAGCCTCGGCGGCCGCTGAAGAAACGAGCGAGGCGCATCCGCCCGCTGGCTTGCTTGGCAGGTTCCTTTCCCGGCAGAAGCAGCCTCGGAAGCAGGAGAGGCATTCTCCGGAGGTGCCGGCGCCCGCCCCGGACTCCTGGCTGTCCAAAGGCGGCGGCGAGGGGCACGGGCCCCCCTGGGCGAACGGCGAGAGGGTTCTGCAGCATGAGCAGCAGCAGAGTCGCCCGAAGAACTGCAGCGTGGACGGGGCTAGCGGCGCAGCTCCTGCTGGCGGGGCTAACTATTGGCTGTCTCGGGTGTACAATAGAGGCCCAGGTGAGAGGGGTCACTAGGTCGGAGGGGACAGAAATTTGGTTGTGGGGAGAATTGTGGTCCTTCTTCGAGGCGTGGAGCAGGTGAACCTGATCCTGCCCCTAAGAGTTGGAGCTGTGGCAGAAGTGCACACACTTTTAGATAGCACAGTAGCATCCTTGCTCTCTCAGTAAGCCTTCGTGGTGGTCTTCCTCGGGGAGCTCTTGAACCAGTCGCGTTTCCGCTAACTCGGGTTAGCGGATGTTTAATGCAGATTTGTAACTGAACCGAGAGCATGCCAGATGAGATTACATTACACCAAGTAGGGAAAGAAGAACATGTAGAGAGAGAGAGCTCTTTTCTTATTCTGTTTTGATATAAATGAAATGCAAAGTTTGTCTAATCTAGGTGGGAATGCTTTGCATACTCGTAATCATTCATCTTCTCTATCTTTTAAGTATGTCTCCAGCTTCTTTCATGCCGTTGCCCATCATGGAATACAATAGTTAAAATCCATTTTCTTTAAAAGTCAGCTGAGGGAAGAATTGTGTGGCAGAAGCATCTGTGTCCACCCAGCCTGGTGTAATTTGATCTGAACCTCATGTTGGAAGAGTGGGGCAAGGGGAGACAGGTGCTTTTAGGTAAAGTTTGTTCTCTGAGGTAGCCAGACCTGCACAGACAATCAGATTCCTCAGTTCCTCTGTTTAAGGGTGGAAGATCTACACATAAAGCTTGTTGTCCCTACAGAAACAGCTCTAAACATGTTTTTAGCCATCATATTACATAAACTGCTTTGACTGTTTTCCTGAAAAGTAGTATAGACATAACTTCAGATGAACAAATTCATGTATTGAAGAATTTATATATCTCTTAATTATGTAGAGACATCTCCCTGGTGTGTTGTTTTCACAGTGGAATGCTTAAAACAGCTTTTAACACAATGGTGTGTGGCTCTGTTAGCCTCCAAAGTCCATCCTATGGAGGAGTGCAGAAGCAAAAGTCATCTTAGTGCTTCTCTTGCCCTGCTAGACTTAGGTGGCCAATTATGGCTGTCTTTCCTTTGCCTGAGAGAGTGGGAGGCACTGTGTGCTGGCAGAGCCTGACTTCTCCCTCTCCTGTGTCGCTTTCCCTGAATGCCCCTAAAATGCTATCTCCAAGGTCATGGTTGTAATCTCAGGGCCACAGCCAGCACTGTTCTTTCCACACCAGCTGTGATGGTGGAAGGAGGGTGCTGCTAACTCAGAGTCCCAGCTCCAACTTCGGAGCACGTTGCTGAAGTTAGAACTGAAGTTCCAAATTCTCTTCTGACTGCTTAGATTCTGCCCACAACTATATGATTGTTCCAATATGTCCTGTGTGGCGTGACCTTTAAACTTGCCTTTTAAAAGTAAGATAAAATACTGTATGTGTGTGTGAAATTGTCTTAGCTACATCTCATATAGCTGTGTCTTAATGGCTCCTGTTTACCAGGTTAAATGTTGGACAAGGCAACAGGTAGTGGGATGAGAGAGACTTATGTATGAATGCATCATAATGTGATTATGCTAGTGAAACTGTTGTTGTTTTTGTTTCTGTTTGTATGCTTGAGTAGATTTTTAAGGAAAGATAGAGATAAGCGAAAGAAAACAGGAAGGGAAAAGGCTCATATATATGATTAAAAACAATATGATTTATTGTTGTAAGCCGCCCCGAGGCTTCGGCAAATGGGGCGGCATAAAAATGTTTTAATAAATAATAAAAAAAGAAAAAACCTTAAGTGGGATTTAATATTGAAGGTGGTGGTGGTGGTGATTATTTCATTTCCCTATTGCTCATTGCTGAAGTTTTCTGGGTAGTTCACACCACCATATAAAAACAGTAAAATAGAGTATATAAAACAAAATTTTAAAAGCTTTAAAGTATTTCAAAATAGCATTCAGATACCTTTAAAATACAATAAAAGACCCTGCCAAGAAGAAAGGAAAAAGGTGCCTGGATAAACCCATCAGGCTCCTGGATAACCAGGAAGATATGTAAAGGCTTCTGCAAGGAGGGCTATCTTAACCTGGCACAAAAAGATAGCAAATTTGGTGCTAAGCCAGCCACAGCAGGAAGGCGGTTCTAAAGGGGGGGGGCACTACAGAAAAGACCTTTCCCCTATTTGCCACCCTCTGAGGGGGGTTGGCATTTGGTAGAAGGCCCCTGAGGTTGAGGTTAATAGGACTACGTCAGCCATTGTTTTATTGTGGAAGGTGTCCTGGGGTTTTTCTTCTCAGATTGATGGGCAAAGTAAAAAGAAAAATCCTTAGCTTAGAAAAAAGTCGACTGTACAGTGGGACAACAGTTATAACTGGAATAAATTTCTATATATAGTGGAAGAACAAGACACAGAACTTGGAGATGACTGTATTACTAGCAGCATTTTTGAGTTCCTTATGAAGAATTGTGACTAGATTGAGAATTCCTCCTTCTACTTAACAGTTTGTGAATGTATAAATTTTATGTACATGTGCATGAACTGTTAACATTTTTGAAATGGTATTTATAATTTCATTTCAAATTATATGTTACTGTTGAATTGATAATAGCTCTTAAAAGTTTTGCCATGTCCAAGAGAGGAGTAGGAGAGCATGTGAATCCAAGGCTCTCTGTTTGTTGTTCTCATAGCAGTTCTCATAACATTATGACTGAACAATAGTTATAAATAATTTGAGCAAAAATAATATATTTTGACCAATTGTGTATAGTGTTTGCAGGCAGCTTTTGCTGAATGAATTTCAGGCAACATGGTCTACTGTTCCTTCCTTGGATTTGAGTCCTGAGCTAACTCATTTTAATCTTTGATAATTTTATTTTGGTACTGTTAATCGCTATATGCATAAATATACTCTGTAGCTGTTACTATTTATTTCAGGCTACATTCTTAGTTCTCAGCCTGCTTTGACAGAGCTCTCTAATGAGTTTGTACTTGAAGATTAATGTCCTCTGGGTTTTACCTTGTAGTAGTTATGGAGAACTTCCTTGTTTTGAAAGGGTACGTGGCTCTTCTGTATTGGGAGCCCTTCAATAATTATATTTCAAGTTGTCTGGTAAAGAATGATTGTGAATATGATTGAAAAGAAATTTCAACTTATCAAATTTGTACTTGTTAATATTGTTTGATAGTAGGGATGTGGAGGTTCACCAAATGATGTTACACAGCCTACACAAGGCTGCTTGGCTACCCACCTTAAGTAATTCTATACCCAAATACAGTGGGATCATTTGCACATGTGCAGTGAATTTTATGTAGAGAGGGTTAAATTACACTTTCACAATATTAAACATTTATTTCACAATACAAACATAATATATGGCTCTTGGTAGTTGTCTCTTTGAGTAATTGAGTTTTCTCTTTTATAATTAAGTCCATGCCTAAGTTATAGGGCTGCCTATTAACAACAGTCATATCACACTGTCAACCAGTGTGAATTCTGAATTCCAGTGACACAGGCACATTATAGATAAACTCAACAGTAATGCAAGGTATGTTCAGTTGTCTAACTGAGCATTCTTCTATAGCAAGAATGACATCGGATTACATATGTAGAATAATTTAATCATGGTTAGTAAATACTAATTTTATCAATATCTTGGATCTACAGTGTGTATCTGAGCAGAGTGATACCTGTTCTGTGTGTAGTATTGAATGACTAATTTTTGTACAGTCCCAATTCATTGGTTTTAACAATGAGCAACCAAAGGTTGCCTCGCACATCACAAATTCCTGCACACAAGTGGTGTTTCTATGTAGACATTCACATGACTTGTCTGTAGATTGTTTTAAATCACAATTTGCTAAGTAATAACCCCATAAGTTTGGGTTATCACCATATATAGTTCTCAAGAAAATTCCAGCAAGGAAGAGTGATTGAGAAAGGGGTTTGTGCAATGCATGATTATCAGTGTAAATAACTAGATTGTCTCATGAATTCTTGAAGATATTTTTTTTATTATTTTTATGGGTAATTCTTGAGCCACTTCACATTTATTAGTCAAGATCTTGAGTTGCTCTGATATTGCTACTTTATTTTTTCTTTTGTTTCTAGCTCACAGGAGTACTTGATGACTGTTTGTGTGATATAGAAAGCATTGATGAATTCAACAATTTTAAGATCTTCCCCAAAATACAGAAACTTCAAGAACGGGACTATTTCAGATATTACAAGGTATAGTGAGAATGGCATGTGTGAAAAGAACCTATATATCTTTCATCTAGAAATTAAAAGGAAGAAATGGTATAAGTAAATGTTATTTTTAGAAACTACAATTTGGTATGACAGGAAAAATGCATTGGGCAAATTAAAGAGCAATGTTTACAAATACGAATCATAATATAAGCTTAATGCCTTCTTGTTTTGAAGTATTTTAAAAGCAATAACTTATGTGTAGTTGCTACTTGTTGTAGAATCTGGAACAGGTTGAAAAAATGATTTGTGTTTTTTCCTTAATGGGATTAATTGAACCTGCCATTTAAATGAAGAATTTCAAGGTGGGGAGTCAAAGGGCCTCTACACCTTTCCCAAGACAGATAACTTCAGGGGGTTTTAGCTGTGGATCAGCTTTGCTGTGTACAAGCATGAAGAACACAGGATCATGCTGGATCAGATCAAGGGTCCATCCAGTTTAGCCTTCTGTCACACAGTTGCCAGTTAACTGTCTGTGGGAACCCATGAGTAGGACCTCCTGCTGCAAGTAGGAGTGGGGCTTTTCTTGACTGGAAAAAGTTTGCACATACCAAAGCCACCCCAACCAAGACAGCAGCTGAAGCAATGCCCCAGTCACAACTTGGATAAGGTGTCCCAAACCTACCCTTCCACTGTCTCAACTGGGGAAGATTCAGGGTATGCAGTTGTTTTTACTCATTGGGAGGACAAGCAGCGTGCCAAGTAGGAGGAATCCTTCAGGAATCTCCATTCAGAGATAATGGGAATTCTCCCTACACCATTGGTAGCCTCAGCTGAGCAGTGCTCATAGAGGGAGCCAAAGTGTTTGCAAGCTGGATGGGAAATTGAATTAATCTTTGTTTACAAATAATGATAACCAGGCCCAGCTAATGACCTTCAGCAGTTCTTTGATCCAAGGCATATTGTAGTGAAAATAGACTGAAATTAGATAACAGCTGTATGACTTCTGCCAATGTGAAACAAATGCATGCTATGCCTGTTGCTGCTGGAATTTACTTTTGATAAAACTGTTGAATTGAAGATTATAATACTTAAAGTTGGCATATCAGTTTGATAAATATTGGCAAATAGCATGCTGTTAATTCAAAATTATAATCCATCTGCATCCAAACCACATATCTCACTAGCAGTCATGTTAGAAATATTTTTCTCTAATTATCTGTAAACATGTATGTCATTCACTGCACCTTTATCATCTTTTCTTCTTTTTCTCAGTCATGAGCAGCTAAGAATCACAAAGAATTGCATATGAATTTTATTTGAAATACTATGTGGCTTGTACCCAAAGATGTTTACTCATGAAATGTCCTTCAACTTATTCAAGGAAGCTTCTTTGCATTTTGGCCATTTCTGCCATCCTACTGTAGCTTCCCCCAATGGTTTTCTGCAGAGGGGTAACCAGAAAAACTTCATTTCACAAGTATGGTTCCATTCGCTAGGTCCAGCTATGAATCAGTTTGTAATAGGTGCTAAGCTATTTTGCCATAGGCACCAACCACCATTGCCAAGAGATGTTGCATGACCTCACCCCATTGGAAAAAATTATCTCCTTTTTCTCTTCTTTGTGTGCACATGTGTACACACACACACACACAGAGAGAGAGAGAGACTATGTAACAGGTATGATTTTGGTTCCAGGAAGATTTTGAACTGTATTTTTTCAGTATCCAGTAGCATTCAGTACAGATGTAACAGAAGATTCACAAGTTCATGCCTGGTTAAATAAGTTTACTGTACACATTTTAAATAAGCTTAGGCATAACCAATAGAAAGTGTAAATGTTCTTTTTGCATTAATTTGTAAAGATTACTTTCAGTTCCTGTATTTTTATTCATACTAGCATTAGCTATTTTTTTGGCAAGACTCATGATCTTTGTATATAAAAGGAAAGGAAATATGAAAATTTGCATGTAAAGCATGGAATGGAACTTAACTATTTTAAATGTAATATTCTACCGGACTAGATTTTATTTAAGTATTTCTCTAGTCTTAAAAAAAATCTCTTAAGTGTTACATAACAGCTGAGGTCACAGTTGTGTGCTAGATAAGTCTTTGTGCCATGGAAAAAGCTGATTAAGGATATCTGGTTTTGGCAATGGTCTTTCTATTATCCTGATAGTGCTACCATAAAGTCGTAATATGAAATGGTGTCTAGCACTTTAACGCTCAAAATACTTAGGAGACAATTGATTGCCATTTCATCAGAACATAATTAGATCTGTCAAATTATAACCAACTTTGTGGGGGTTGTCTGTAGAATTCTTCTGAATTTATTTTTTTAAATTGTGACATATCATTGGTGAAGAATCTGTGGTGCTCCAGATGTACTATAACTTTCATCATCCGTGCCCATTGGCCATGCTGGAGTCTAATAACATCTGGATGGCCACAGGTTCTCACTTCTGTTTTAAAACAAGCATCACAGACAAACACACATACGCAATGGGCTAATAAAACAAAAATGCAAACAATGAGCAGTTTAAACATAGGGTTATAATCTTCCTCACTGGAGAGTAAAAGTTTGCATGTTAAATATTGGATTACTATATACATTACTGTGATTTACCTGATGTTTGTAATGAAGGTAAAACAAGCAATAACAAGTACCAGTTCCTAACAACTAATTCTATTATTCAGTGGCTATTTTTACACTATTTGATTATTAAAAGGGATTCTTGCTTGAATTGAAACATACAATATGGTTGTCACTTTATTAATAATTACAAAAGGCTTTTCTAACTTCGGTAGATAGGCTAATAGTTTTAAATACATCTGCAGCTTAAAAAAATTAAACCTGTCTATTGCCCTTGTTCAGTTTTGTTTGCCTTTTTTCATTCTTCCGGCCCACCCTGTGAAATCAAGGTAGCTTATTTTAAATTACGTTAATTAAATTATATAAATCAAAAGAATAAGCTTTATTTTTGTTCAATGCTGAAAATATATTTGCACATTACCTTTTTTTCCCTTTTGGATGAACTGTATAACACTCAGAATTCAGGTTCAGGAACTTGTTATGATTAAAAGGTTCTCCAAAATGTAGTTAAGTCAAGGAAGCTGTGGCACCTGAGCTCTGTGATTCTGGTTCATATAGCATGCTGATCATTCATGTGTGTTAAGTATGGAAAGATATTACATGTCTGTACTTCTGGAATTTCTTTGAAATGTGAAGATGGTGTTCATGTGTTAAAAAGCTAATGTTGCAGAAAAACATTCAGAAACCTTTGTGCACCTGTGGATTTTAAATAGATTCTTTTCAATGATTGTGCCTGTAATGAGCATACATAAATACGTTTGAGACTATAAGAGTCAGATATGTTTCCTGGCCACCAGGTATATTTGGGTAATGGTTTAATACATGAGGGCTTTGAGTGTGGCCTATCGGCCAGCAAATTGGTATCCCTATGGCTCTTATTCTCTTGCACTGATGATGAAGTAACTCGATTCATACCACAATGGGTTGTTCTGTCATCTTAGCCAAGCAAATCTAGTATGTGGGAACTGAGGAAGCAAGGGATCGTAGGACATAAACTCTGTTGCAAAGGTGCATGGGATACATGTTGAAGTTGGCTGGAGAGCTGAGGAGGAAGAAGGGCCAGATAGGTAAGTGTTTCAAAGGGAGGCTTAGTGTGTCATGTAAATATGCCCAGTGACTGGGATTATGCAGTCATGATGGGTAAATAATAAACAGAAGCTTATTTTCCTGCCCTGCAAGTTCCAATCCCAAAGTACCTAATTAACCTAAGTTCCCTTTACTGTGCATAGGTTATGTCTCCAGTAAGCAAGAAATGGAAAATACAGTACAAGTTCTAATAGGCTAATCAGATTAGAGAAGTGACTTAATGTCCATTTTACTTTTAAGATTCTTCAAATTTAAAGTTCTTTCAAAATGGATGCTTCAGATTTTGCTTATACTTGCATGCCCACATGTACATTTCACCAAATGATTGCTACTTGCTTATTTTAAAAGAATACTGTAGGTTCAACTGAGTATTGTTTCCCAGTCTCATGTTTTAAGGCTTATTGTTCTGAAGCAAAGGCTCTATATTCTTCAGTTCATACTGACAAACATGTGTATTTTCATTGAATTTAAGGTTAATCTGAAGAGACCATGTCCATTTTGGGCTGATGATGGCCATTGCTCTATCAGAGATTGCCATGTAGAGCCTTGTCCTGAGGTGAGTTTCAAAATAAAGGAGCAGGTAAAAACCCAGTCTCTTCTACGGATAACTTCTTGAGTTAGGAAATACGGTGACGTTTTTATTGGCATCACAGTATCTAATATTGGTAGTATATTTTGATAATGAAATTTTAGTAGGCAAGAGGAGCTCAATTTAAATATCAGGTAAAATATGTAAAATACCCATAGATCAGTGTAGTGGTTCTTCATTCTTTTAAGTCAGGCTTCCCCAGCCTTGTGCCTTCCAGACATGTTTGGACTGCAACACCGAAAATTCCCAATCAGTGGCCCTGCTGGAAGGGAATTTTGCAAGTTCTAGTCCAAATGCCTCTGAAAGCCACCAGGTTGGGGAAGGCTGTGTCAAGTGAATGGTGGTATAGCAACATAAATCCAGGTTGTCTGGCTTTAACTGTCTGCAAAGTTTTGGCCATGATATAAGAACTGATTCTGATTTAAATGCTAACCAGATTTACAGTGCCTAATGAACCAATTTATAGAGAGGTCCAATTGATTTTGATCATGTTAGAGAAATATGCATAAGATTCAAGTAAACTACTTCCAAGTTTTAAACAGTCCATTCTATTGTATGGATACTCAAATGGATTCTTGCAAGCTTGGCTCACTTGTTTACAGTATTCAGCTTCCCTCAGCTCAGTTAATTTTAAGGCAGTGGCGACTTGTGAAAGATAAGAATGCGTCATTATGCCACTTGCATGACTTTTTTGTTTTTGTTTTAGAGTAAAGTACCAGTTGGAATTAAAGCTGGAAGTGCTAACAAAGTAAGTCATATCTTCTGAAAAAGTAAATTAGGGCAGCTTTTCTTACCTCTTTCTTCCCAACCTGCACTCCGAAACCATGTGAAATGCTAGAGCTTGCTGAACCCGTGAAGAGTTAGAATAACATGATGTTAGGTTTACTTGCAAAACCATTGACTGTATTTACTGTTGTGTGCACACATGTGGTTTTTTTTTTCTCTTGTACTTGAGAGAATTCAAACTGGCAGCAGCACTAGAAAGCTAGTATACTAGCTTTACCATGAAAACACAGATGAACACTTTCTACCTTTCTACTCTCCCTCCTCTTTTTCCCAAGCTAGGTAGAAACTAAGTTGAAATTAGACAGGTAGCATGTGTAGCTTGGTCAGGAGGCATCATAAAACAGCCTTCTCCTAAAATGTTACTTTTGAAATTGCTTCTAGGGAAAAATGTAAAGCAGGCACCAAAGAAGAGTGTTCCCACTAATGCATATTTCACATGTCATGCCTTTGTTTTCACATGTGTAATTTGATATATTTCACATGTGGTTTTAAGGACCACAGTATTGGGATAAATAAGAAAATTTGGCAATATGCATACGTACAGAAACATCTGTCTCTGAATATGGTAATACTATTATTCTGAAATATTGTATATATTTAAAACTTATCCCACATGTAAGACCAGTAACATGTAGCTAACAGGCAAACATTCTCAGGGTATAATGTTGAAAACATGGGTGTTGGATATATGATACATATTTTCTTGTCTTTCAGTATTCAAAGACAGCAAATCATACCAAAGAACTTGAAGACTGTGAACAAGCTAACAAACTGGGAGCAATTAATAGTACATTAAGGTAAGTTGTCTTTAAGTGTTATTAATAGGAAGGTTAAAACTTGGTATTTGTGCTGAACAAATTTATTGCTAGCAATACATAGTTAGACAGTGGTAATCTTCTTGCCTTTTTCTATCTGAGCAAGTTCTTTCTGCTGTTGTTGTGTATGGAGCATGCAGCATTTCTACACCAAACATAAGAAACATATTAAATACTACTGTATTTGTAATGATGTGGTATCATTGTATTGTAACTTGCAGTCTGTTGTAAGACAGCAGTTGCTTAACAGTGTTACATCAAGTTTTTGCATTTTGTTTTTCTGTTTGTTTTATGAGATGGTATTATCTTCTTGATTTTGTGATTGGTTTTTAATGAGCTGCCTTTAAGGTTTTATTGGGACTATAATGGATATCTGTTTAAGTTCATCTCAGTAATTATCTCTTAGTTTAAGGATGTAGAAGCATAAATAAAAATAAAAATGCATGCATTAATTTGGTAGTGGTCTTTCTCTGTCTGTTCTACAGCAACCAAACTAAAGAGGCTTTCATTGACTGGGCAAGATATGATGATTCACAGGACCATTTTTGCGAACTTGATGGTAACATTATTTTTTGTTTGCTTTTTTTGAACCATATGCTTTCCAAGGCAGTGTGTGCCTAAGTAAATAAACTCCAAAATTATATCCATTACAAGGGAATGACCTGGTTCACACAAGCTGACAAGGAAGAGTATGGATTGATTACAGGGCTCCATTGAACCATGGCTGATTATTGTGTTATGTGAACCCAGCTTCACTAACAAACAGTGGCTTGTTAATGAATAACAAATCATGGGTGATTTTTATAGGTTGTTCATAGTTAACAAGCTGTGGTGGTTTTTTTTTTTTTTTGGTATGGCTAGGTTCATACAGTGCATGGTGCTGCAGTCCATACTCTGACTTATCACATTGTATGTATCCAGTTGATTCACACACCACTTTCCCTTAGGATATAGGCTGATTTCTGATGAATATCCAAACAGAATGAACCATAGGCTTCATCACTCCACCACCTCAGAGATATCCTGCATATTTACTGCTTAGCATTAAATGTAGTTTGTTGTGTACAAACCAATAGCTAGCATTAGTTTTCCATCCTATATAGCATATACTAATAGCAATTTTCTGTAAGAGTGCCTGTTCTTATGTAACCCTGAACTTCAACTTAACACAAATTAAATTTGTCTTTTTACATCAGTCAAATTATTTGTTTCCTGTTACATTGTTCTCTAGCACACTTCAAGATATAACCATAGTGGATTGATTTTCTTTAGATGAGAGATCTCCTGATGCTCAGTATGTGGACTTGCTGCTGAATCCTGAACGTTATACTGGATACAAAGGGCCCTCTGCATGGAGAGTATGGAACAGTATCTATGAAGAAAATTGCTTCAAGTAACTGGGGAGGGAGGGAAACATTTATTTTGACATGTTTTAAGTTTTTAAATTGCAGAAACATATTTCTAATTTTCTTTCCTTCAGACCACGGTCAGTGTATCGTCCACTAAATCCACTGGCACCAAGCAAGGGTGGGTCAATAAATCCTTTGCAATTTTAAGATGGATATTGAAATTTCAGTACAGCTATGACCTTCAGGAAAGCAACAAGGTCTCAGTGGAAACTGTCCTTTATTTGATGGTTGTTTATCCAATCTAAATATTTTACACACACACAAAAAATGCATTCATGGTCAGTGTCCTCAAGCCAGCTTACACAATTTTACTGTAAAAAAAGGACCAGATAAATGAACAATAAAAACTAAAATGACTAGCAAGCAGCAAAATATCAGCTGGGTTCAGTCCTATGGCCATGAGATGCTGTCTAGATGGTGATAGCCAAATTTGGAGCCCCATCTTTGATCTTGGAAAGTGCTCTGAGGTTGGAGCTGGGACCCTGAATTTGGAGCACCCTTGCAGCTAGTATGTCTTTTCTGGGTGGGGGATGCTTTCTGGAGTGCAAGAGCAACATCCTGCCAGGATATGAGGAATCCTGTTGGTGCCTCAGCCCATCTTCATGAAGAAGGATAAAGCACTTGGCCAAAATTGGCCTCAAAATGCTTTGCATGGTAGAAGGTGCACAAAGGTAATCCTTGCCTCTGTGCTTCTCCTGCCTTCCATTGGATGCCATTAATCATCAGGTTCAGTGAGTTTTGGGCAGCCACACTGCATAGCGCTGCTAAAGATTCCAAGGTCAAACCAACATATTGATCAATTGGACTCAGAAATAAACTAGAAACTCGTGAATAACTTTAACATGTGGGCAATATGGTACCAGCATTCAGTCCTGGTAGCAATGTAGCCAGCATTCATTTTTTATAGTAGACTAACTTGGGCATTACTAGAACATAGAGAACCAGAGCTGCTTGGTTGCACCTGGCATGTTAACTTAGTCAAAGACATTATGAGATATATATGCCATTTGTGCATACATCAACAATGCCGGATCCAGAACTGCAAACCTGATTTGTATGGGGTTACACTTCCTATTAAAGAACAGGTTAAATTACATATATTTCTTTACTCCCCAATAGCTGAAGCTTTCTGGGTGGTGAACAAGAGTAATAAATACAATGTAAAATAAAACATCATAAAATTACATAGAGGAAAAATGCCACATTTAAAGCCATGTTTTTACAACTATATAGCAAAAGCTAGTCCATTCTGCTAAGCCTGCAGAAAAACAGCAGGCAATATCCTCATACCATGTGCTATTAGGTGTCAGTAAATTCCTCAGCAAAGAGGGCTGTTCTAAGCTGGCAACAAGTAGTTGGTAAAGATGATGTCAGATGGACCTCAGTGAAGAGATCATTCCGTAATTTGGGAGCTACCACAGAGAAGGCTGTCCTTGTTGTCACTAGCTAAGCTTCCCTCAGAAGTGGCATTCATATGGCTTCATAGGTTAAGATCTGGGCTAAGAAGCATATAGGCAGCCAAGTGGGCAGAATGGGAGTTATATATTGGGTCCATCTGATCCCAGTTATCAGTCTGGTTGCTACATTTTGCTCAAGCTGCAGCATCTGAAGTGTCTTCAAGGGCAGCCCTACATAGAGTGCATTATAGTAATTTACTTTAGAGATTACCAGAGTATTACTGAAGCTAGGCTATTCCTGCGCAGATTGGGCTGTAGCTCGGAGAAGCACTTTGTGCCACTGAAGCCACCTGAGCCTCAAGTTACAAAGATGCATAATCTTCTCATTGAAACAGAGTGCAATGCCACCCAGAGCAGGTTGAGCACCTGCCATCCAGTCAGAAGAACCACCAACCAAAAGCATCTCAGTCTTGCATGGACTGAGCTTCACTTTGTTAGCCCTCATTCAGTCTATTAATGCAGCCAGTCACTAGTTTAGCACATTCACTAGTTTAGCACATCCTTACCTGCTTGAAAAAAGTGTGTGTCATCTGTATACTGATATCAGTATCCTCCAAAATTTTGGATGACCCAACCCAGTGGTTTCATTTAGATATTGAATAGTCCTCAATCGGTGACCTGCCTGAGGCCCTTGAATAGTTTTCAAAAGGCTCTGGGGGATATGACTGGTGGCTATGCCAAACTCTGATTTCTGGAATACAGAGGTGCCCTGGACAGTTAACACATTCACTCCTGAGCATCTTCTCTGTAGTAGAGCTCATACACTCCCATTATGCACCCCTCTGAAAGCCATGAAACAATACAAGATCCAGCTAGAAAGCATAGATAGAGAAAAACTCCTAGTAAATGCAATCAAGTCCTGGTAGGTGCTGATAATCAGGTATTATTGGGACAGTTGTATAGTTGTGAAGAAGTCATGAAATCCTGAACTTCCCCAGATAAAGTGGCCTCAGTATGGATGTTGGCATCCCCCAAGACCAGCAGTCTGAGGGACTTCAGCATCACAACTGAGACGATCTCTCAGCAGTGGGGTTGATAGGACACTAACAGAATCTCTGATCTGTCCTGCTGGCTCAACACCAGATGCAAACAATCCCACTAATAGTCAAAAAAAACCAGAGAGCCTGGAGGAAGAGAGAGAATTCTATAGACCATGGCTTAAACCCGCTCTCCAACTCAGATCTACCTTGAAGCTGAACCAAGTCCTCTGGTGGGCATAACTGGAAGAGACTAGCTCCTTGTTCACCCACTCAGCTTATCCTGTTGTATCAGCTGTCCCACTGACTATTAAGTCATGGGTAAGAGTGAACTTGCTCTGGTCTGGCTTTCAAAAGCAGCATCCAGTGACCCAAGGGCAGACTTATAGGGCAACTACTAGACATACAGATATAAAGAGGACCAGAGCACAGCACAGACACTGTCTGGAGTGTGCTCCCCTTACCTGACTAGCCCTCCTCCCAATGCCATATCTCCCTCTACCCATCATTACTCATTGTAGAAATTCTCCCAGTTAATCCCATGACCTCCCCCTCAAGAGTGCAACAGAACCTAAAGGCAAGATGTTAGCGGGGTGGCCTTTGCCGTGCTCCCCAAGGAGCAACCCTCTTTGGTGTTGTCCTCTTCAGGGTCATTGCTGACCCATAATAAGAGCCTTTTTGCTGCCAATTGGCAATCAGCCCAGGGAGTCTGTTCTCCCCCCACCCTTCTGTTGCTGATCATTTTAGCAGAAACCAGCAGGTGTTCAGGGCACAGCCCCAAGATGGAAGTAAGGCTCATTTGCTGATGTGTGTCCTGGCTGGCTTTCTATACTGACACCTGGGCTAAATAGATCCACTTTGTCTCCACATAAGAGCCATTAAACCATTACTGATAGTACCTCTATCTTGTCAGCATTTAATCAGCATTTAATGATGCAGGATAACATCTTCTTGTTTTATTGTGTGACATAGATAGAAGTTGCAAAGCTGGTTCTTTACTAACCTGTGAATTGTAAAGTGGTTGTACAAATTTTAGTTCCTTGGGCTCAATTAGATTAGCAAATAATAAAAAAAGAATACTGTCCTTTGTATTTTAAATGTTCATGTTTGTATTATATGAGTTAGTTATTTTCTTGGATCTATATCTAAAACACAATAACTGATAGTGTGAGCTGCAATTTTTAAAAAATGCTTTAAAAATAACAAATGTCTGTTTTTCAATGCCAATATTAGAATAGAATAAATTATATTACTTACCTCCTACAACTTTCCTTTTTTTCAGGAGAGGATGATGGTGAGTCTTTATACTAAAATAATATTCTTTCACTTTATCTCTTAAGGCTCAGGGCAAATAAAAGAGAACAAGCAAAATACGCTAGATCAAAGGTCCCCAATGTTTTTGAAACTGTGGGCACATTTCAAAATTTGGGAAACTTGGTTGTCATCACCACAAAAGTAGTGACTTGTCACTTTGGCATCTACCTATCTGGTCTATTCTACCTATTTTCAGCAGCATCTTATTCAGGAAAAGCCTTGGTTTCATGTCTGTGGGACACCACAACATCTCTCTAATAGGTGACTGACTGATTCAGCTAATTGCTGGCAGTCAATACAGCTAATGCTTCTTTCGGACAAATGTTTTGGCAATGTGGTAGTGTTTAGTAGGTGCTTCTTTAGGGGAAAAAGTTATTCAGATATATTTTGTACTGGAAGGTTTTTCAGAATTCACTGCTGTATGCACTCTTTTATCATGGAAATTAACAATAGTCAGCATAAATGACTCCATGTCCTTTTGACAGCTAAAAGACTGATATTACAATAATGAAAGGCTAAACATCTTATATAATTTAATGACTTGAGAACCTTTCAATGCTTTCAGTATTTGAACAGATGGAATATTGATGTCATCTTCAAATAGATTCTTTCCTTGATATGCTCTGTTTTTGCTAAAGCTTATGTAAGCAGTTTGTATTTCATATGCATTCATTGTGATAGTTATATATAAATTCATGTTTTATATATTTAAAAAAACTTTCTTTGAGGTTGTACATTTAGGACCCCTTCACAGACACTGTTGAAGGTGTCAGAAGCCACCTATTAATAATGCTTGTGCTACATGAACAGCTTCAAAATAATCCTGCAGATCTTTCTGTGAGGATCAGGGTAGTGCTGAGCATTGTCTCCAGGCCTGGAGTTGGAAATCCAAAATATTCAATAGCCCCCGTAGACTATGGAATTTTAGGATCGTTTTCTCCATCTTGAAAATCAAGGATTATTTTGAGACTTCTTAAATGAGTTTTTTTTCCCCACAGGAGAATCTTTCTATACATGGCTAGAAGGTAAATAAAATTTAGTAAAAATGGTAGTGAATATTTTCAGAATAGAATGTTAGCCTAGTTATATAAGTAGAGATTCATGTGGTATCTAGTCCATGCAAATTCATGGCAAAGTTAACATGTTAGTCCCTTCTACAGGATTTAGTCAATTTTACCTCAAAGATTATAATGATGAAATTGGTAATATGCTTTTTAACATCTTGGCTCTAGTCACTTTTAATGCGAAATGAGGAGCTGTGCTATTAAATCATTTGGATAAAAGGCATAAAGGCACAATCAATAGTATAATAACCTATTAATAGACTTAATAGGGCTGAGTCAAGCCACATGTTGGAATGGTTATCTAAGTTTTACAGCATAATCGGAGCATAAGCATAAGAAAGTCATCTATATGAGTGTTGTATTACTTGTTGATGCTTCCCCCTCCTGATACAGCTCCCCTGTCTCTGCTCATGCAGTTCCGGATCGTATTTCCCCATGTATGTATTATTAAACACCATGTTATATGTATGAACTGTACTTTCCCCATGAAGCCCAAGCTTGGGGAACTACTTAATGAGAACAAGCCAGGATTCAAAACCACAGTTTTATTGTGGTTTTGTCTCTGTTGCTTGGATTCTAATGTAACCTTTGGTGAATGAAAGGGTTTATTCTATCCAGTGAAGACTGAGGATCATGCTGGTGGAAAGAAAGGTGACTTTCACTGATCTCCATCCTCCTTACACTGTTCTGAGAGTAACCCGATGCTCTAGAGTACATCTTAAGAGAGCAGAAGGTTACTATGAAGCAAAGGGGGGATCTGCAAGTCTTGTTTCTTCTTCCTTCTGCCAGTAGGAGCAATGTCTGAATCTAGTCCATTAACAGGAGCTTCCCCATGTTTGGATGTCATAGGGAACTGTGATTTGTTTAGAAGCTGAAAAAAATTTCCTTATGGCCATCAAGGAGGAGGAGTGGTGAGACTGTGTGTGCCAAAAGATTATTGTGGCTCATTTACATAGTAAGAAAACATGGTTTCTCAATACATTTGAATTGGACCATTAGTCATACTTGCATCAATTCCATTTTTAATTTCATACTTTATTTTTTCTCTAGGTCTTTGTCTTGAAAAGCGTGTGTTCTATAAGCTCATTTCTGGACTTCATGCTAGCATCAACGTACATCTTTGTGCAAATTATCTACTTGAAGGTATTCAATATTTTTAAAACTGCAGTTCTCTCTATTGTTATGGAAAGCATTTCTGTGTAAGCGTAATTTAAACAACCTAACACAGTTTCTTTAAAAATACTGTTTTTCTCTGTTCAGAAACTTGGGGGAGACCTCGTTGGGGACCTAATGTCAAGGAATTCACCCATCGTTTTGACCCTACTGAAACAAAAAGTGAAGGTCCAAGGCGGCTTAAAAATTTATATTTCTTGTATTTGGTGGAACTGCGTGCATTGTCAAAAGTTGCACCATATTTTGAGCGTTCAATTGTAGACCTTTACACTGGAAACTCCCAAGAAGATACAGAAACTAAATCTCTCTTGCTAGAAATCTTCAGAGACACGAAGTAAGTGTACCTTCCTAACAAACAGTTAATATGCAGCTAGGTTCAGGCAGTTGAATGATGTTGGCATCAAAAAAGTATTGTGTATTAAAAGTATTAAAATGTATAAGAACAATAAGAGTGGTAATTGGAGTCTGGAATGAAATGAAAACAGCTCTTTAACATTTCCTATAAGGATATCAACCACTGGCAAAACACCCCTCATCTGGTAGCTGTTACAGTTGTTGTGCAAAAGAGGAATTCTTTTTTTACCATTTTGTTTCCATAATGAAAGGAAAAAGCATCTAGCCTTGAAGAAGCTGCTAACAACCCACTTCACACCCCAGTCCCATAGCCAAATATATTGTGGTAAGGGGGCCTAAGCAGTCAGGGAATCGCTGAAGAAAATCTGGAGCTAGAGATGTAAAATTTTTGAAATATTGAAGCCCCAGAGGAAAAAAGTTAGGGTTTGTGGAAAAAGTGGATTTTTTTTGTAAAACTGCAAGAAATGAAGTATCAGCAGGCACCTTTACAGGCTGAAAGTAATTTTGTTAGGAAATTACTAACAAAATTTAGGAACTTAAAATGTGTTATGTATAACAGCAAAAAAATCCATGTTTGGCATATTAACAATACAGTTTATTAAGACAATCACAGACTCATTTACTTTTTAAAGTGTTTATTTTTTATTTATGTCCCAGACTTTAAAGAACTTTATTTTTCCAGTTTATGAAACACCAACAAATAGCAATAAAACTGGAAACCATCAATATTCATAAAACAAAATAATATCCTTCAGAGTGGCAAGCAGACATAAAGCACTCATTCCCATAAAAAGAACTGAGTAAAATGTGTTGGGGGCTGAATTCAGTGAATATACCTGAAATATAATCACTCTCATTTTCTGAACTATTGCCAAAAGTATCAGCATTTACTACTTTATCTTTGTCTTCCTCATAGTTGTCGTGGACTACTAAAAACTGAAGTTTTGCCCAGATTGAAACAGATTCTGTACTCTATCACCTGTCAATTTACTTCTTGACTTTGTGTGAGCATTTCCAAACTTTGGCCAGGTTCTTCCACATTCTGGTCAAAGTGGAGGAATCTGAAGTAGGCAGGAAGCAAGAACAGTCAAAAGCTGTGCTGTATAAAGGTTTAGTTTTCATGTTGCAAGAGGAATATGTTCAGCAACATCCCAGATTGCGTTCCTATACCAAATCTCAGAATACCTTTCCTGCTTGTTTTGTAATCCTGTTGAAGGTCCGCAGCAGTGCTTTCATCACTTATATTTATACCTTTAAATTTTGGATCCAGCAGATAATGAAACAACAGCTAACCAAAAGTGTGTGGGAAGTCTGTAGCAAGACAAAACCACAAAGCACTCAAGAGCAAGTTTACTTCTAGTCAACACTTGGACAAAATACAAAATTATTAGCACTATATCTGCTAATAAAAGAGCTAGGTGAATGCTGAAAAGTCAGAGTAGGGTTGAGAGGGCCTCACAAGCTACTCTAGTTATTGAAATCTCTTTGCTCCCATCACATGAGTTTTTCTTGATGCCTTATCAGCTGTAACCCTTGCTTCACTTCCTGCAAGTCCTCTTATTCTGCTCTCTCAGAGCATAAGTCAGTCAGTGGTGGTAGATTCTCTGTACTAGAAAATATTTACATTACTTGACTTACCAGAAATCAGGGGTGTACAATCTTTCCAGCAAAGGCAACAATTAGTGTGGGTTAAGAACAACATGAATGTATAAATGTGCTCCATTTCTGCAGTGAGCATGGCTGAAGGAAAAAGGGGCAGAATCAAAGTAGCATCATAATTTAGCTTAAAGCTTTTAATGCTGATAACTCAGTCTTAAGAGAGGCATTTAGAACAGAGAAAAAATGCACAGATTCTAGATTTTCAGTTAGTTGGAAGAATGCAGTTGGCATTATCTGGGGGACCCTAGAGGGCCAGATTTGGTGCTAAGTTCTGAGATTTTGCACTCTTTCCCTAAAGGATGTCCTTTAGCTACTTTTGTATGGTTTTCTTACCAAAGAATGACCTTGGCACTGGAATCACTTGGGTCTCTTCAAACTCACAGCTAATGTGCTGTCAAGATCACTGTCTGCTGAAAAAGCAAAGTAGGAAGTGATCACGCTTCAGATTTCTGCTGCTGATGAGATCAGTGTTTGCTGAGAAAACAATGTAATGTGCAGCTCAAGGTTAAGAGTTTAAGCATTTTTGGCCTTCATCATCTAGCTAATGAACTGGAAAAAATGGCTGGGGGCACAACTGGAGTGGTGAAGTTGCACAGCTCCAGTAAGCTGAGTGAGCTTACTGGAGTGCAAGGACATGTATCTGTTTAAGCGGAAAGATAGTATGTTCACTCTGTTAAAAAAAATGTAAAGAAAAGTGGGAACTCTGCATTCAGTCTCTGGAGGGAGACCTGACACTAAGATCCAAGCAAAAACATATGTCATAGGGCTGACAGAAGTTTAGTTTCTTGCCCCTGCCAGCAGGCACACTGCAGAGAGAAAGTGGTGGATTGCCAAAAATGAAGCAGATACAACCCTTGCAGGTATGAGTTTCATTTGTGGACCTTTCCTCTGCTTGATGTTCTAGGGATACCTCTTTTGTGCTTAGCCTCACAAGCCAGAGCACACTAGAAGGACAAGCCCTATTATGTATGCTTTTATTGGGATCCAGCCCTATATTTTGACTAAAATGTTTTAAGAGATTAGCCATTATGCATTACTGCTGGTATTGAAGACTCCATGTACTTGGGTGAGCCTGGAACTTAGGATTTGCCACTTGGAGATTTTCTGTCGCATGTTTTCCACTACTGAAAAATTTCCAAGTAATTATAAAATACAGAATACTTTTAGAAGACTATGAACAGTAAAGTATGATATATCCAAGTATATTTTAACAGTTCTATGTAATTTATTCAGGTCCTTCCCTATGCACTTTGATGAAAAATCCATGTTTGCTGGAGACAAAAAAGGGGCTAAATCTTTGAAGGTAAAGTAATTTCACTGACATTTAAATTATGCAAACAAGAATTGTGTCGACATTAAAACCAGGACTTAAACCTGTAAAGATAGTTAAATTGATCAAGTACTAGATAGATAATTTGAAGAAAATGGAACTGGCTTGATTTGATTAATGATCCAAAGAATAGCATTATTTTGTCAAAAATCTTCACTGTGGATTTAATTTGTACACTTGATTGTTCAAATTTCCATTTGAACAGGAATCCTCTCCAAGATTTAATCTATTTCTAAATATTCACAAGTTTGAAAAGCACGTATTGGAGTTGTCGGGGGACTTCTGGAAATAATGCTACCAATAAAACTCTGAGCACTTATGCTGGTGGGCTGTATCTCTCATCAGAGGAGTCTTCGGTGTTTCTTTCTTAAATGAGTCATGATAGAATGCATTATTTCGGTGCTATCGTCACATTTAAAGGTCACATTGATAGTGCTAACTAAGAAATATGCTGTATCTTTGTTAAGTCAGTGCCAACTACTATTTTTTTTACCTTTAAAAAAAGAGACTTGCTTACTTTTGTGAAATATGTTAAGCATTACTAAAACTAAAGCTAAGCTGCTTAAAAACACAGGTATGTAATACTGCCCTATCTCAACCATAAGGACATTGGGAGTGCCCGGCTGGCTTATAACCAGCAATGCTCTTGTGCTCAAATTCTCTCTTTCCTTTCAGGGCTGATGATGCCTAGTGACACCACCAGTGGAGCTGGTACACGATCTGTGGTCACTGCCCAGTCACAGTTTCCACTTCTGTGATCAGAAGTGATTTTGCAAACTATTGTTTGAGCTAGCAGATTTTAGCAGAATAGCAGATTTTACATCAAGTATGGTTACCTCTGAAAGGAGATGGGTAAATTTATGCTTATGGGAGGTCAGTGAGGAGGAAGAGTGTGTCAGTCCTAATGGTAACTGAAAGAAGATAGCTTTGCCTCTGGCCAATCCCAAGAAATTCCTTGCATTGTAAAGAGTTACACTGTCACTAAAAAGAAGCTTCAGTCGAGCTGAATCTTTTAAACAAGCTTTTTCTTTATTGGTAGGAAGAATTCAGGTTACATTTCAAGAACATATCCCGCATAATGGATTGTGTTGGATGTGATAAATGCAGGTTATGGGGGAAGTTGCAGGTATGTATTATTTCATTATTTATGGAGTAGAATACAGGATGCCAATTTTTTTTTCTCATGCTTGGCCAGCTATCATATTCTTATGGTTCCAGGAATTTAGGGATCTCAGTTAAGATCGTACTTACAGCCTGACATATGGAGACAAATTTCTGCATTTTGTGGCTGGTTCATATCAGTGCAGTACAGTGTATTTGCCTGTGCAGTGCAGTGTATTTCGCAAAAGAAATTACATCCAGCTAATTTCCATCTTGTTTTATTAAGTTTGCCACAAGTTTAACTAATAATTTCTAGTTGCACAGGCTGTAATAAAGGCTGTAAGCCCGTATTATTCCTCTATGTATAGTATCTATTTTCACAGTAATAGGGATGTATTTTAGCAGTTAAAATGTATTACTTGTAGTCTTCAGCTTTCATCTACAATTGCCTGAGTGCACTCTCAGTCACATATTGAAACACACACCCTCTGCCACTTTCCCATTGCACTTTCTCCAAATATGGAGATTTCCCCAAGTCTCTGGAGCAGATTTTGGTAGTACACAGAGGTGCTACAGTAGAAAGGAAAAACAATTTTCACAGTGGTTTCCATTCCATTAGCAGATGGACATGGCTAGATACTACTCCTGTATTCCAAAAATTTTGCAAGGATAAATTAGATGCTTATATTTTGATGAGTAAAGAATTTATTTTAAATACTGTTTTAGTCTTCCTTTCATTGGTAATCAATATATTCATTGGATTTGAAAATACAGTGGTGTAGGACTAGGAAATGTTATAAATAATATGAAAGATGATGGAAAAACTACTATTGGTTCACTGATAAAACAATGCTTGGGTATTATAGTCTCACTGTTTAATGGCCATTCTTTTTTAGACTCAGGGTTTAGGAACTGCTTTGAAGATCTTATTCTCTGAAAAAGAAATAAAGAACCTTCCTGAAAATAGTCCATCAAAAGGTTTCCAACTTACCCGGCAAGAAATAGTTGCTCTTTTAAATGCATTTGGAAGGCAAGTTATTACCTTTACTTTTGTTTATACCTATATAGGCTAGAATGCCTCTCCTAATACGGCTGTGATTTTTATTTTACATATTCATTACTCTTTAGGGATAGACTGCCCTCAAGGCATTCCATACAGAAATACAATTCAAAATAGAATTATATAAACATACAATCCATCATGCTTACGTGGAACATTTTAGTTAATCAAGATATTAGAAAAATTTTAGGTATTCAGTTCCCTAATTTTTGAATTGAGAATAATATTCTTTAGTGTGTTGGACTTCAGCTTCACAGAGTGCGTGTATATTGGTGATGGTAAATGAGACCATTATGGGGCAGAGCAATCCTCTGGCCTCTAAAAGAGTGGCTAGATGGCCATAGTGTTGTTCATATTCCCACCTTTAAGATCAGAATATCTCTGCAGCCGTGGACCAGGGGATCTGTGTTTGGATCCCTGTACAGGCAGTACTGAAAGAACCATACGGGCTGCTTCTCTGAGGTTGTAAGGGTAACTTTAATGCATCAGGAGAGGAAGACACTACCAAAATACCATCTATCCTAGCAGTGCCTTAGCCTCCTTCTGTCCTCCTCATCACTGCATATAGGCAGCCAAAAATTGGCCATCTAGCTGTTTTGCAGGGTGCAAGGAACGTGGAAGTGATTTAGGTGGCAATCTCATAAGATTGCACCCAAATTCAACTTTGGTTGATTTTGCAAAGAAGAATTACAAAGGAGGGAGTTGAATGTACCAAGGAAGTTTTTACATCTTTAGGTTGGTTACACTATGCAATTGTGTTAAACTCTGTCTTTTGCTTTCCCATTGCAGACTTTCTACAAGTATACGGGAACTGCAGAATTTCAAAGTTTTATTAAAACAAACAAGTTAACAAAGAGTTTTTATCTACTGGTTAGAAATAGCCATTAATTTGACACCATGAAGAATGAAGCCACTTTATAAAAACTGTTCTAGAGGAAAGTAACTCTAATAACAACTTGAATATTTAAAGTAGAAAAGGTTAGTCATTGGACAAGATATTTATGAACGAAGTACCTAATTTTAAACATGTAAATTATGTTCATTTCTTCTATTCTTCCTCTCTTTGTACACTTCTTGTACCATCTTTTGATATGAACTTTTATTGTTTCTCTCTTCTATTCAGAGACTCTTACATTACATCAAATTGCAGTAATTTCATCCAGACTGCATTGTCCATGTGGAAAAACACAGCAGTGTTGCCTAAAAATAGCTGGTGGTGATATTTTAAAATCTGTATTTATTTGAAGGACCAAAGTTTTGTTAAACAAGAACTTTTCCTTGTTGTTCTATATATTTGACTTGTTTGTAACAAAAAGGGGCCAGTCAGGATTTCAGTAAAATAAGCCCCTTGGCATCCAGGGGAGACCAGCTTTCTTTCACATTCTATTTTATGTTCATACTTGCTTCCCTGTCCCCCTTCCTGAATTTTACATTTGTCTATATCACAGCCATCTTCTCTACGAGGAGACAAGATTGAATTGAAAACCCTACCCCAGAGTCCACCAGTTTTTCTTATGCATGTCTGCTGAGGGGGCCTTTAGAGTTAAGTGCTGCTAGCTTGAAATGGTTTGATCAAGCCTGCTATTGGCTCTCTACTATATAGCCAATTTCTCTATTTACATAGAGTGACACATTTAAAGTATCCCATTCTAGGTCTTTCAAGAATGCTGCCAATTCCTCTTATTCTGGTTGTCCTATAATTCAAGTACTATAGGAAGAATAAAGGCAAATGACACCTTTCACAGAAGGACACATTTAAAAGTTAATTTTTGGAACTCAGCACTACCTATGCAATCTCCAATTGTACCTTAAAAAAGATATACAATGTCTGTAATAAAACTGGTGTACTTTGCAGAAATGCAATCCTCAGTCATTAACTACAGAGGGGAATTTATTTTCATCACTGCAGAGCAAGAGCAGATGATGTGTTTTTTAAACCTTTAAATCTGCAGTAAGAATTCTGTAAATTGTGATGGAAGAGCTTATTTGAAGACGGTAATGTAATATTTGTACTTAGTAAGGGATGTTTGAGTACAGCATGAATGTCAATGTTGATACAGTATACAGACTTGTACATATTATGTTTTGCTTTGATAAGTAAAACATTCTTTATAAAATGAATTAAAAGTGCTCTTAAACTCTTCAGATTTAAGAAATCTTTGTTGGTATTGTGCGTATGTATGATTATATTGTGTATATAAGCAACACTGTTCTATAACTTTGTAGAATAAAATATGTAATGAAAGATGGGGCAGGTGGTGGCAGGGGTTCCATTTTTACTCAACTATCATTTTGCATGTAATCAGTGAAATTTTACCTATGAAAACTTTACAGATAGGTTTTTTGTAAGATCTAAAAATTTGTTGAAGTCAGTGAAAAGTAAACCATCCTTTAGACCTCATTCAGCTGAAGATTTTTGAATTTTAAGGCAAAGGGTGGAGGTGAGGTGCCTTTATTTTAATGTATCATATATTACCTTTGTCTTTCTGCCCACCCTTACCCTGCAAAAAAGGTGCTCAAGGTGGCTAGGTTCAAATCATATGGTTGTAAAAAAATCTTGGAAATGTAATAATTGTGGTAACTGCTTTTGTGGCTTGGGAAACTTGAGAATTCCATTTGGTTCTGTTCCATTGGCCAGACCAATCAAATATTATTACATTGTGGGCAATGAGGTTTGGTCCATCAAGCTTGATATACAGTCAGCAGGTTATACTGAGTAATATCCATCCCATTTAGAAGGCTCTGCTATTCCATGTCTATTTTTTCTAGTTTCTTCCTCCCCTTGTGCCCCCCCATTTATTCCAAAGGGTTAGAATGCCCTTCAGAATGATGTGAAAGGTGGCATAGGAGGCTGTGAGGAATGAATCAGGAAAATTTACTTCCCCATTTTCCAAGGCAAACACTTCCACTTGATCAAAGAGCCTTCTGTCAGTAAGACACAGTGCACTGATACAATGACCTACAGCTCCTTTGTTTTTTTAAGCTGAAATTTGCATGATACTCAACTTCTGCATCCTTGCCCATTAAATGTTGCTGAGCTAGGTCTGGATGCACATTGCTGTATCTCCAGCTTGTTCTTGGTGTTTCCTGTAATCCAGTTTGTAGGGGCATAAATATTTTGATGCGTTATTGCAAACATGCATCAAAGTGTAATTGTTAGTTGCTCTATTTAAAAGACTGGGTTGAATAGACTTGCATTAACTTAACAGTTCTCTACTTGTAAAATATACAGTATATCACAAAAGTGAGTACACCCCTCACTTTTTGTAAATATTATATCTTTTCATGTGACAACTCTGAAGAAATGACACTTTGCTACAATGTAAAGTAGTGCGTATACAGCTTGTATAACAGTGTAAATTTGCTGTCCCCTCAAAATAACACATAGCCATTAATGTCTAAACCACTGGCAACAAAAGTGAGTACACCCCTAAGTGAAACTGTCCAAATTGGGCCCAAAGTGTCAATATTTTGTTGGCCACCATTATTTTCCAGCACCGCCTTAACCCTCTTGGGCATGGAGTTCACCAGAGCTTCACAGGTTGCCACTGGAGCCCTCTTCCACTCCTCCATGATGACATCACGGAGCTGGTGGATGTTAGAGACCTTGTGCTCCTCGTCTTGGAGGTGTGTTTGGGGTCATTATCATGTTGGAATACTGCCCTGCGGCCCAGTCTCTGAAGGCAGGGGATCATGCTCTGCTTCAGTATGTCAAAGTACATGTTGGCATTCATGGTTCCCTCAATGAACAGTAGCTCCCCATGTCGTGGTGCCGATTGTATAAACATTCAACTCTCCACAGAGCAATAAAACTAAAGTCCTTTAATGTTAATTGTCTACAAGATTTACAATACTATAGATAAGTTCCCTAATAGCGGTCCCAGCTAAGCAGATGTCAGCCCTATAATGGCCTCTCTTTCTGAGCCCACGTGGGATCATTCTCCCAAGTCACGCCTTTCTTCTCTCTTACGCTGTCTACTTTGTAATTGTTCAAATCTACGTAAAAGAGGTCTGTTCTCGGCTTTTGAGAAATCTATGACACCTATAGTGTCTTCTGTTTCTGGCTCAGGGAGATCAGCATTGGGAGGGGAGGAGGCAGTTTGCTCTGCCTCTTTCTGAGTAGAACTTGCAGCTCCCTCTTTCTCATGACTCTCTGTCTCTGATAAAGGTCCAGGCATTTGCTCAACGAGCTGGGGCTCAGGGGAAGACGCAGTAGCTTGTTCAGCTGTCCCTGCATCGGGTTGTGGGGGCGACTCTTGGGCACAGGGTGCCAAGTGCAAGGTTCCTCGTGAGTCACTGTTTCTGTCGGAGCTTCATGCACGACACCCCAGTGCCACAGCACTCTGCAGCCCCAGACCATGACACTCCCACCATCATGCTTGACTGTAGGCAAGACACGCTTGTCTTTGTACTCCTCACCTGGTTGTTGCCACACATGCTTGACACCATCTGATCCAAGTAAGTTTATCTTGGTCTCATCAGACCACAGGACATGGTTCCACTAATCCATGTCCTTAGTCTGCTTGTTTTCAGCAAACTCTTTGTGGGCTTTCTTGTGAATCATCTTTAGAAGAGGCTTCCTTTTGAGATGACAGTCCTGAAGACCAATTTGATGCAGTGTGCGGCGTATGGTCTGAGCACTGACAGGCTGACCCACCACCCCTTCAACCTCTGCAGCAATGCTGGCAGCATTTATACGGCTATTTCCCAAAGCCAACCTCTGGATATGACGTTGAGCATGTGCACTCAACTTCTTTGGTCGACCATGGCGAGGCCTGTTCTGAGTGGAACCTGTCCTGTTAAACCGCTGTATGGTATTGGCCACTGTGCTGCAGCTCAGTTACAGGGTCTTGGCAATCTTCTTATAGCCTAGGCCATCTTTATGTAGATACCAGTGACCAGTATGAAAGAGTGATACCAATAACACCAAATTTAACACACCTGCTCCCCATTCACACCTGAGACCTTGTAACACTAACGAGTCACATCACACCGGGGAGGGAAAATGGCTAATAATGCCCAATTTGGACAGTTTCACTTTGGGGTGTACTCACTTTTGTTGCCATTAATGGTTTAGACATTAATGGCTGTCGAGTTATTTTGAGGGGACAGCAAATTTACACTGTTATATAAGCTGTATACTCACTACATTGTAGCAAAGTGTCATTTCTTCAGGGTTGTCACACGAAAAGATACAATAAAATATTTACAAAATGTGACGGGTGTACTCACTTCTGTGATATACTGTATATATAATCAGAGATTGCTACTCTGTCTATGGAAGAAAGCAGGGATCAGATCATGTAAGTGATGCTGATTCCAAACAATACTTGTGAAAAATTAGGTCTGTAATGTTAAAGCATTTGTTGCAAGTTGGTTGCTGAAATCCAAAATCATGAAGACTGCTACTGGTTTAATAGGCAGAGAATATAGAAAAGATTTATGAATAGAAGAAATGTACAGAGAAATCTCACAAGTAGTCTGGTTCTGCAAGGATGAATATTACTAGGCAGATGTGTCACTGTAATCCATAGCATTCAGACTGCTTGGCACCATTTAATTAGTGGGAGGTTAAGGAAGGACTGTATCACGATGGCCAAAACATAAAAATTGCTGTAGGAAGTTTCAGTGGTTTCCTTGAACAAGAATCATGTCAGAAATTTTCAGTCACTCGAGCCTTCAAAGCATCTGTTTAACTATGGTGAGGGTAATTTTGTCAGTTCTCTTCACTTTTGATTGTACTTCTGTTTGACCTTTTTGACTAGGAGAAAATACATTATGAATACCTACTCGCATAAGGAAAACTTTTGTTCCTTATGTTTCTTTGTTCCTTTTTCCATCTTGGTTGTACAGCATGTTTACTTGAAAGTAAGCTCCCTTGAAGTGTGGAATGGAGAGGGAATTTCTAAATATATAGGATGGGAACTTAGTTGCTTAGTGCTGTTTTTACTACCAGTCATGTGTGCTTTCTGGAAGATTTTGCATAAAGTAATTTGCACTGGAAAATCAATAGAAAACTACCTGCTTTTGCATGTTTTCTAATATAAGTAAAATAAACAAAGTTAAAATATCCCATAATGATGTTTTTGGTCCAATACAGCATGTGTATTTGACTTGAAATATTTGAGGGAGAAAAATTAAAGGAAACACAATGCAGTTTAACATGTTGACCTATTTCTGGAGTAAAAAATTAGAAAATAGCACATTTTCCCCTTATATTGTTTAAATATAAGAAAAGAAAAATAAGTACTGAAAATTCATGAAATACTAATTCATCCTTCCCCAATCTGGAGCCATCCAGATACATTGGACTACTAGCATACTTCAGTTAGCCTAGCTAGTGGGGAATACTTTGAATTGTAGTTAGCAGTAGTTATAACCTAGTTTATATGCCATGGGTGGCCAGACTTGCTCAATGGAAGAACTACGTATGATAAATTTCAGATGTTTGAGAGCCGCAAGCAGGCACCTGCAGTGGCAAGTGGTGAGCTGCAAAATAAACTCAAAGAGCCACACGTGGCTCCTGAGCCATAGTTTGCCACCACTGCTTTATGCACTTCAATCAGAATAAATCCCACTGAGCAAATGCTTACTTATATTTGGGGCTGTGCTGACTGAGTAGGTCACAGGTTATTGAGACCTGACCTAGATGCAAAATAAGAATCAGTGAAATGAGAAAACAGGCTCAGTTATCATACTTGGACAGGGTTTTTATTTAGTAGGAAAAGTGAGAAATTTGTTCAAATTGTGTTGGAAGGTGTGGCACATTCTGCTAGTACAGGCGAAATAAATATCTAGATCAGACATGCATAGATTCTTGTCTGGTAGGAGCTTGGTGGCCCTTCTAGTTTTACTGCCTGCCTTGAAAAGCACATTTCTCAAGTACCTAGGAGGCTATACCATACTGTGTTTGACAGTGAAGATCATGCTACATAATTAAAAACTAATCCTTATTTCATGATGAATACCTTTAGACTTTAATGCATCTTAAAATGCAAAACTATCTGTAGATACATTTTTCCTCAAAAGAATTTTATTTTAAAAATCTGATTTAATTTTTAAATATATTTTTAAAATAATTGATTTTTACTCATCTAACCTGAACGTGCACTGTTCTTCTGATAATGAATTAAAGGCAACATTCATTGCCTTTAAAGCCTACAGAAGGCTAAGGAATATTGTTCCCCCAAATATGCCTAGTAACCTGGCTCACACATCATGACAAGCCACTGTGGTTTCATTTACCTGCCAGTAAGATGCACATCAGGTGTCACTATGCAACCCAATGTCCAGGTTCACATGACATGACAAGCCATGTCAAGGCTTGCATATTCAAAAAGATGGCTGTGTGCAACTCAGAGCCTCACAGGTCAATTAACCACAGTGGTTTCCCATGACATGTAAATGCAGCCATGCACTTGTTTGCAAAACAGTCTTCTACATGGAGACCAAAAGCTGTATATTACCTTTTGTTTTGCTTTTCCATGCAGCATAGTCATTGTTCACAAAGGCAAACCAGTATGTATGCAACTATATCCACAACTCTGAAGGAAACACAGATGAAACCTGGATTATCTTTAAAATGCAATGAATGGGACTTTGTTTTAGATCAGGGGTCCTCAAACTTTTTGAATAGGGGGCTAGTTGAAAGGTGCCAGGGATGGGTGTGAGCCACCAAGGCGGTGTGGGTGGGAGGCATGGGCCAGGGGGCAGGGCGTGGGCATGTGCGCTCACAGCAAGGCAGGGCCATGAGTGCACAGAGATCATTTTCTCCCAACAAGTCCAAAACTATCTCCTTGCGAGCAAGCTGGCGCCTCGCAAGGTGCCAGCTTACTCGCAAGGAGATCCTTTTCTCCAAGCAAGTCCAAAACAATCTCCTTGCAAGCAAGCTGGCACCTCGCCACACACGTGGCGAGCTATGGCGAACTGGATAAATGGGCATGGCGGGCAGTAGCTTGAGGACCCATGTTTTAGAGTGTCAGATAATACTTTGGTATGCAGATGACAGATGTTATATATTTGCATAAAGTGGGTCTTGCAACACTTAGTCAAATACAAATGATATATTTGATGAGATATGGGACAGGTGCAAGTTTCTATATTAACACTTGATCAGGATTAATTACTCTTAAACTTTGCACTTATCTAATACAAACAGTAATTCTGCATGTAGTATCTTCAAGGTATTTAATTTTGTGGCGGGAGGGGTTAATAACCTATCCCAAAGTGGATGAAGAATGGTACCTCTTCTTCCCCATGCACTATGCTAGTATTCCTTGAAATAAATAAAATTGGCAGTTTTTCATTAATCATAATTCTTAAGATTGGTTCACTATTTGTTTAATGCATGCAAGGCTACAGATGAAGGGATATAGGACATGTGTAAAAATATGCATTTTTCTGAAACTACCAGTTTTTAAAAAATGGAATTTATTTGAACATTGACACTAGTCAAAACACTATGAACATTTTGATACAAGATGACAAGTGACAACCCACCCTGGCAAGAATCAGCTTGCAATTACAGCAGGATAAGGAGATGGTCTCTGCTAACCATCCTCGTGTACCAATTGTGGCTTTGACTGTGGCCGGTATGGCAATCACCTTATAGCTCTTTGGACACAGCAGTCAGGGATCTTTGCCACTTTTGCCAAGGAGCTCACTAGCTGTTGGATCTCATGGCACAACAAATCACATTGGGTGACAAAAACCCTGTACAGTCCATGAGCACTACAGAGGAGCTTTTTAAAAGGACATGCCAGCCTTGGTGCAGTGGTCCCTATTTGCATGTCATTAGCAACCCACTTATGATAAGAAACCATGGTAGGGCACATCATCCGAATCCAGTTCTCGAACATCAGTCCTTGATCAGCACAGCAGTGACAGATGCACTATACTTTGTAAAGTAAAATTGGCATTTTAAACAACATTTTTGAACATATCAAAAGTGACAGTGTAAAAGTATTCTACAAAAGTACAGTAGTATCTTTCCCAACATAAAAATGATTGAAAATCTGTAATAATTTTCTTCTCTGACGTCATCTTGTAAAACCACTTATTTGATCTTCATTGCAAAAGGAGAATCAATGACTTCAGTGGGAGCTCTCCCTATGTATAACTTAAGTACAAATACAAATTTTTGTAGCCTAAGCATAGGAGAGTCTGTGTAATTTCATAAAACAAGCCTGTAAATTGTACCCCACTACTAATGCTGAACAAAGGCGAAAATGCCATTGTTTTAGTTTTACATTGGACTTGGTCGCTGAGTCTCTGATATGTTATCATGTTGTAGGGATCCAACATGAGGCATAAAGCTGTTGCTTTGATATCCCCAGTCATAGTATTCAGGGGAGAAACTAGAAAAGAAAAGAAAAGAATTGTAACATGTGGAAGATGAAACAATACTTAAGATTATATGATCCTAACATACAGTTGACTCAGATAACTTTGCTTGAAGGAATTGTGCAGACATGTTTGCAATCCTGTGGTTTTTGAATGAATTCCAGCTGCATCTAGCCAGGAATTTGCTAGAGGACCTTGGGATTATAACAATGTCACTTGGCCTAAATGTTTAGTTGTTAATCTAGTTCATCAAAATTTCTATACTAGTAAGAACCAGTTAGACTCAGAAACTTAATCTCAGTACACTTTGAATTCACTCTCATGGTATTTTGTTGAGACACAGGAAAAACTATTCTAACAGCACATCTGTTTACGCACTACAGAATGTATAACCAGCTTAGTGGTCGTCATCCCAATTCCCTGTGTAGAACAATACATTATCGGAAGTATAATGCCATTATACTTGGCATTGTACAAATTAATGAAGCAGAGTGAGAAAAAACCCCTCACATTTCCCAGGACTGTACTCAAAAAGGCCTGAGTCATACATAGAATGATGTGTGCTATGCATACATGTATGGTAGTCTGCTATTAAAGAATAAATGGTTATTATGAACAAAGTATTTATGGGAAAATATGCATTTTCTTCCCTAGTAGAGTAAGTTTAGACCAAAAAATAAAAATTAAAAAAATGGTCCTGCATCCCATAGCCAACCATGCTGGGGAATGGTAGAAGCTGTAAGAGTTTTCTATCTAAACATGCATAGGACTGTCCCTTTAACCCCATGTAAATCAAGTTAGGGAGCACTCTGGAAAATACAGATGATTTTTCTTTTATACCTCATCACTAGAGCTATTTCTCACCTGCCATGTATACTGTGTGGTGATATGCTCCATGCTAAATCATCATCGCTGTCATATCTGCGAGGATTGTCAAAGAAATAAGATCTTGGATTGAATGCATGAGTTGGTACTATTCCTGGATTTGTCTAGAGAAAAAAGAGAGAAGATTATGTATCGCATTCATCTGAGGTAGATATTTGTGATTTGGTGTCTCCTTAAAAGGGAGAGGCCAAGACACATTTGTATAGATGTCTATGTGTATCGCAATTGTTGTCCCAACTGCATCATCTCTATACATGTTGCTTATCCTCTTCCTTTGCTTGGAGGGTAGAGATGGGATGGATAAAGACTATTGCTAGTAGGCAAAAATTCTGCCTTAGTTATTCTACAATATCCTGAAAGTGTCACTGCTGTCTTGATCTAATGTTCTCTTTAACTGTAGGAACCTGCTATATCTTAAAACAGATCTCTTGTGGTAATGCAAGAATATAGGGTTTTTTGTCCAAGTTCTCCTTCAGGAGAAAGACACATGAAGAGCATGCATCCTTACTGTCCTAAGTCCAGCAGTGCACTTTGCAGCTTCTTCTGCCTATCTCCTGGAACTGAGTACGGTCACAATTATCTGTGCATTTAGATTTAAGCTTGAGTGGTATGAGAAATTCATGCAACTACAGTGGCGAAGCATTTAGGGACTAAAGTTAATTATATAATACCTACAAACAATGTTCTGATACATGACATATATTACTACATTATATTCATATCCCACCTTTCTTCCTCTTCCAAGAAACCCAGGGTGGCCTACATGATCCTGTTCTACTCTCTAGTCCAGCATTCTTAACCAGTACATCATGCTGGCTGTCCATTCCTTGAATATCCTTGTTAGGTCAACTTTTTTTTTATCAACTTAGCCTTTCAATTAATGAAGTGATCAGACAAAGATTTAAATCACCCTTTGTGTCCTGCCTACAAAGGGTATATGTTTCTATTTACATGGTGTTTTCAAAATGGCTCATACGTTACCCTTCCATTTTTTTATTTCAAGATGTACCCAGATTCATCAGTCTTTCCTTTATATAATTTGTCACCATTTTTAAGTCTGCCATTTTATTCTAATTTCCAAACTAGACTCCAAATGAGGTCTGTTTGGCAAAGATCAGGCCATGTATAATATCTGTTCTAAATACAAATACAATATAAAGTTACTTTTTATATATCCGAAAATGGCCACCACATCATATTTATTCACTCTGGTCTTGTAGGCATTGATTACCTTAGCACTGTTTTTTCATTTTAGCTTTTTTAAAACCCTGCATCTCTCTTTACACCTGCAGGGCCTCATTTGGTGCAGTAGGGTACTTGTTTTTTGTACAGCAGCCTTTCCCAACTTGGTGACTTCCCTGCATATGTATGTTCTAGATTTCAGCTTCCAGGAGCCCTCAACAAGGGTCATTTTAACTCTGGCTGATGAGAACTGAAGACCAAAATATTTGGTGAGAACCATGTTAGGGAAAGTCAGTTTAAGAGATTTATATAATAGAAACATTGAAAAATGTATATTGGATAATTTAATAAATGAAGAACTCAAACCAATGGACTTTCCAGTGCATTTAGATTTCATTTGTACCTGAAGTTTCTGTTTATACATAGTATATTATTAGTCTTTAAGGATACTACTCCCTCTGCTGGTAAACTGTCAGCATATCTAATGCTGATGATTTATTAAAGATGGGAAAAAGAATTCCTGTTATCGATTAGTTTTATTTTATTTTATTTTATTTAAAACTATTATTTTCTTTTAGGATTTTAGAAATAGAAACACCTACAGATGTGGTTGTTATAATATTTATTTAATTTTCCAACCTGGGACATTGTTTTATTTCTTGCCCTTACCAAATTGTCCTCAGGTGAATACAGTAAAACTTAAGTAATACAGTAAAACTCAGGTGAATACAGTAAAACTTTTAAATCCATGTGTACAAAATGAAACTCAAAGCAGCAGTTTTAAAAAATCATTTAAAAACAAGTAGCAACTAAAATGTAACAGACAATAACTAGTACAATCTTAAAATAATCAGTTTCACTTTTAAAGCAATGCTTAGTTTCACTTCCTAAACTATGAGTTTTTAAACTGTCATAGTAAGCCTCCATTTGATAATTCCATCCATAACAAGCCCTCATGCAGGCCTATGCAGATTTTATGTAATAGGTACTGTTTCACCTTCCATCTACTGAGAGTGGAAGCATATATAACATCAGGAGAGATGTACCATGAGATCCATAAAGATGTACTGGTGAAAGGTGAAGGGCAGACTTTCCCCATGACACTCCTCCATAAGAGGAGTCCAAAAGTAGAGATGGCTGCATTAATTTGTCTACATAGATATGTTTGCTCACAACAATATAATATTGCTAGGAAACTCCATTTCCTCTATTCCCTGTGAGGACTGCAGGTAAGCTCAGAGGGAACAGAAAGTGTCTGGGGGGTTGAATCACCATGCTAATCAAAAAGTCCTGGCTCCACTACAATGTATTACAACTCTCTAGGAACTATCAATCAGGATGGGTTCCAGAGAAGTGCAATTAGAGATAAGCGAAAAAGAAGTGTCAGGATGTGTTTACATCATTCCCAATTAAAATATTAAGTGGTGGGTGTATAACAAAGTGAGGAAAGATACGGCTTACTAGGTCTTTTGTAGGACTTCGGACACGGAAGAAGAACACCACTAAGGAAGTAGGCAGGAGCTCCCACACAAACAAGATTATTCCAAATACTACATATCCGGCATCACCCAGCTGGCATTTCAGATCTGCCTGTTGAAAAATTAAAATGAAATGCATTTAAAACTTGCAAGCTTTTACGCCACCTCCTCCCCCAATGAAGAGGAAAATGTAGCAGCCATGCTGCTCTCTCTGAAGGGATTCAACCTTACCCATTCCACCTGCATGCCCTACTATGGGTATCAGTGGTTGCTTTGATGCATCTAAAACTGTCTTGGCTCAGATGAACCAGTAAGTACAATCTAGCAACTGACTCCACAGGGATTTTCTGAGCAACAGATTCCACATCAGAAGGGCTTGCTCAGTGGGCACATGGCAAGTGCTAAACTAGATAGTACCACTAAACTCTGTAGTGCAAGCTACTCTAGAGTGAAATATGGAGAAGGGATATAAAGACACACCTAAGCTGGGCAGATTTAGCCTAATGCTCAGTATTATATTGAGAAGGTTATTTCTCTGATTTAGACATAAATAAGTTGATCGGGTTCTGGATTCCCCAGACTGACACAGTTGGGCCAAAGAACATGTAATATTAAACATCACTTGAAAGTATTCTAGGTTTTAAAATTAATTTAACAGGGGGCTTAAACCTTCCTTTCCCTGCTGCAATAACAATGAAAATTCCCTTGCCTCCTGTGCTGCTAATAGCCCTAGGAGAGAAGAGCTCCCAAGAGAGGAATCCATCTTAATATACTGTACTCTTTTAATCATACCAGTGATTTGACTGAAATGTTAAAAGTGAAAATCCCACTTGGCTAAGGATCTGTTGATAGATGACTTTCCCTTGAGACTGTAAGTTAGCCTGAAAATGAAATTCTGCCTAAGACTTTTATGTATGTAATGTTTACTGGAATTATGCTACAATGATGCCTGTGATAATTTACCTCAGAGTGTATCAGTTAGTTTTCACTGGGGCAAAGTGGTCTGGCTCCCCTTGTATTAATGCACTACAAATTATACAAACATGTAAACAAGCCTTACAACTCTCCAGTGAAGAATCTACTGCCTCTTATATTTTGTCTAAAATCTGTACAGTTTTGCATAAGAGACTGTCATTTACTATTTTAGTTCCTACTTTGCACATTGAAGAGGCCCTGAGCCGAGACCCTGAACTTAGCCCCTTTTAGCAAATAATTCTTCATGACAAAGCATTTTGACACGTGGGGAGGTATCTGTACATGAATTAACATCTTTGCTGTGGGAAGAAAATGCTATACTTGCCTGATCAGATACATTGTACCAATCATAATCAAAGGACTTCACTGTATTGTTCTGATCAAATGATAAAACGACAAGGTTGTAACAGGCTCTTGAGGTATATAGTAGTATAACTGTCACGCCTATTGTTGTTAACTGACACACAGATGACCCCTAGAGAAGAAAGACAACAGATATCAGCTTCCTCATATTTGAGTTTGGAAAATGAGCACTGAAATATTATGGTTCTTAATTTTGGGGGGAAAGTACTGGTCCTTAAGTAATGTTCACTCCAGATATGAGTTTTAACTAGTTTTTTTTTAGTCCTATGCTCTCAGATGTGTTGATACTTACCTATGAAGCAGACAACTATATGAGTACAAATGGGTTAAATGTTTACCATTTCCTGTTTTAAAAGGTTAATCTAGCCTGCAATAATGTGGAGGAAAAGAAATTAACAACCTTCAGCAAAATTCCAAATGGTACATTTTATTGTATTGATTTAAGTATTTGAGATTACACACTCTGCCTCTAGATGTTTCCATGCAACCTGAATCTTTGGATCCAGGTATGCTGAATAAAAAACTGTCTGCTTGAAGAAAACAATAATACATGGGTCCTCAAACTATGGCCTGTGGGCCGGATCCAGCCCACCATGCCCATTTATCCGGCCTGCCATTTGATTATGCGAGCCTGGGGGCAGCCAGGCTGGGGGGAGGGTGATCCCGTGCCCGCCGCTGCCACTGCCATGCCGCACCAGCACCTGCCGCCTCACTTCGCTGTGCCTGCCGCCAAAAGGATAAAAGAACTGACACTGGGCAGGATGCTTTTTTCAGGATGTAGGAATTGTGAGCATCCTCGAAATGCTTAGAGATCCCGAACCCTTTCCTATAAAACTGTATTTCCCTGTGAATTCACAGCATTTATAGTGGTTAAGGTCTTGGATTTGGAAGGGAGTGACCTGGGTTTGGACTTCCACTCAGAGCATGAAGCTCGCTGGACAAGCAGTTACACAGTTTTACCTTCCTTACAAGATTGTTGTAAGGTAGGCACTCTATTCATGCCTCCAGTCATGAGTTTCTTGAAAGAAAGGTGGATATAAATGTGAGGGGGGAAAAGCTCTATATTCATTACTGTACTGTACTCTATTTTAGAGAAATCCTGAGTGTCATTTTGTTGGTTAACCTAGGTTTCTGTGCCAAGATTGAAGGACTAAATACAGAAGCATTGCAGCAAAAAGAACATCAATTTCCTCCATATGTGCTTTGAAGAAATTTCATATGGTGTGTGCAAGACTCCTCCCATTATATCCCCCCTTAATCCAGTAGACTTAAACAATTTGTAAAATCAACAATGTACTTGAAACATATTTTGAGGAAATCTAAAAGGCAGTTGGCACATTTCAAGGCCAGGGAATCATGGACTCTTCAACTGGGGAGGATGAGTTTTTGCTCAGCCCCCTATTAAGGTTTATAGCTGAGGCCCAGCTTAGGCATAGGGCTAAGCCCCAGATTAGGTTTCAGGCTAAACCCAGATTAGGATTAGGGTTGGAAATGCCAGCTTTTCTTTCTAGGGTAGGGGTAGTCCCTTCTCCAAATGCAGGAGCATTTCTAACCCTAAACCATACGCTGAACTGGTTTGCTTTACTTTTCCTCAAGAAGGTAAGGAGGGGGATATACTTCAACATATGTCACACACTTGTCTTCACTGCAGTCCTTTTACCCCCACAATTTTAAAAGTGCCTGAGGTGTACTTACCTTCGATTCCAAGTAAATATTTGCTAAGGACATCTTGGAAATCTTGTAGAGGCAAATGGAGAGTGAAATTGCACACAGCACAAACAGCGTGTCATTTATAGCAACCCTGACCAGTACAATGAATTTCCTTTCTGCATTCTCTGTTCTCACAAGCAGTGCACAGGTTAAATTCACCAGCAGGAAAAGTAGACTGACAAAGAATGATGTGAGATAGAGAGGCAACCTAAAACGGGGTGGGGGAAAGACACATTAAAAAAAGAGAAAAATAAATTTTAGTAAGCATTAAAAATACCTTTCATCTTCTCTGGACAGTACAAACAGTTACGTAGATTACAATTCTGAAATGTATTCATTTTTTTATCTATTTCATGTAATAGACCATTAATTTCATTTACATCTCACCTTTCCACTAAAAAAGTATTCAAGGCGACTAGCAGCAATAGAATACAGACAAAATGTAACATGATTGAAACATGACAAGTTAAACATGCATCCATACAAAACACATTTAAGACTTATCAGCTACAGTGAAATATGAAATAAATAGCATCCACCAATTAAAACCCAGTGCAGCAAGCAAAACACCTTAAAAACAGTCAATAACCTGCCTAAATAAAAAATGTATTTGCCTACCAGTAGTAGGACAGTAAAGATGAAGTTAGTCTTGCCTCCCTTCACAGGAAACTCCAGATCCTGAGAAGCCACTGAGAGGCCCTGGGCCACTCTCATTTGAAGAAAAATACTCCACTTCTGGTCCCAGAAATAAGTAATTTGGAAGAAAATCTGCAGTCAAGGTTGGCCCAAGATATTTCACTGTCTGAGGCAATTAAGAAGCCTGCCTTCCCATGCCAAGAGTGAAAGCTGATTGAACTTGTGTCAGGGTACAGGGTGCCCAGAAGGCAGGGCTGCCATAAAATGCAGGCACAGGTAGGTACTTGCCAAGGGCCCATATCCTTGAAGGGGCCAACCAGCAAGAGCTTCCTGCCTCTTGATCTGGAGGAAAAGTAGATGCCTCTGTCTACTTGCTCACTGGTTTTCTGCCTGTCCAGCAAGCAAGTGGTGGCAAGGATGCAGAAAAGGATGGGTAAGCAAGAACAGCTGGGGACAATGGTGCTGAGAAGGTAGACTCACCAAGGGAAGGGGGCCCACTGCAGGTGCTTTGCCAAGAGATCCTCAAAACCCTGGAACCAGTATTGGTGGCACAGAACATGTGCACACATAGCTCTTATCGGATCTGGGCTGCTCTAGTGACCAGAACCAGAACAACCATGACAGTATTCACAGGATTGGTCCCAGGCCCCACTGGAGCTCTCAGGCCCTTCATGAAGGCCAGCTGGGAGCCCTGGGGAAAGAGCTATATAACAGCAGGCTTTTCCCTTCAGAACTAACCTCAGCAAAACAGGTGCTATTAGCACTTGCTGCACCTTGTTCCTGCTATCTATCCTGCCTTGCTGTGCTGCCTGAGCAGGGCAGATTTTCCTGCTAGCTGAGGTATCCCTATTTGCCATACTGCCTGCATTCTGCCTACATCTGGTCATGCATCTTGCTGTGCCAGGTACTCTGCTGGGCCATGTACCTGCATCTCTGGTTGGATTCCTGTTCTTGACCCTTGGGGTGATCATGTCCATGTCCTTGTTCTGGCCCGATACATAAATCTGGTTCCTGACCCTGGCCTGGTCTGTAACTGTAACTTGGACTTCACCACTGGACTTTGGACTCTGTCTTGCCTCAGGTTCTGTTGCCCTGGTCCCGGTGTCTTTGTCTTGTCTCTGGACACCCACATCTCAGCCCTGGACCCTACCAGCTGTGTCCTGGAATGCCCTTCTAGCATTTGCTCACAACTTTGCCTGGTCCCTCCCTCCTGCCTGCCCAATCATGTTAGTAGAGAAGCACATTTGTACATGCAGAGTCTGTTGGACTGCATGGCCTCAGTAAGCTCCTCTGTTTCTCTGGTGAAGGGCTTTTCTGTGATGTACTGGGGGAAAATAACTTGGTGAGATGACCACCAGCCCATGTCAATAACAGGCAAGTATTCCCATCCTCCTGAGGGCACTAACTTATGAAGATAGGAACAGCTTGGGAGCTAAGGGGGAACAGCTAGGGTCAGGTTTATTTTATTTTATTTTATTTTATTTTATTTTATTTTATTTTATTTAGAGTATTAGGTTGAGGAGGAAACTGCCACTGGAAGCAGCCCTTCACTCTGGCTGATAGAACTGGCTCTGGTCCAACTCAGATCTGCTGATCTATGAGTAACTGCAGCAGCAACAGAGGAAGTCCAGCTTGTATCATGGGTTGCCTTGCATCACACTTAAAATTGAGGGAAAATACAAGATTAAAATCTCTGCATATGGGGAAGATGGTTAACTAGAGGTCTGGTCAGTCTGGAAACCTACCACCCTCATAGTTTCTGATGTGTGCGGTCTCTTTAGTTACATAGAATGAAGGAAAATAATTTAACATCTGCTCAGGAACATTTCAATCTATACTTACTTTGCACTGTTGATTGTTCAGCCTTGGTATTGAAAACAGATGCCAAACAGATCGTTGGTAATTGAGCCTAATCTAGCTTCCAAATTCACTCTTGCATGACCTTTGCAAAGGTCACTGGTGTAGCAAGCAAGCTTTGGGCAACACTCTGATGACTACAATGAATTGGATCTCAAAGGGACTGTGGTCTGTACTTGGAGAAATTAAGGGGTTAAGAATTAGATTAGATGTAGGAACATTTGAATTTAAAATTATAAAATCAACCAACATGGGAGAGGCCAAATCCAGTTGGGAGTGCAAAGTGCATTGGGGTGGAAGATCTCACTTTGCTCCTTCCTGATGTGATGCTGAAAAATGCTGTGCTGCTAATAATAATGCAAAGAAGGGTACAAGGGGGAAGCAAATAGCAGGTTCCCCTAGAACTGAGCAGAGGTGGACAGAAAGTAGATCTCCAGATATTTCGGGATTCATTTCCCAGCATTCCTGAATATTTGCATGCTCTTCTGGGTGCTGAAGTCCAAAATGTCTGATAGTGTATGTTCTGCCCACCCTTAGATCAGGGAAATTCACTGGTTCTTCCTATCTTTTTGAGCCCTACTGGTTGGATGTGATTAAGCGCTGTATATAAAAGCTTCCACTCACCTCCTCCTCGGAGCCTCCTATATTTGGTTCCTGGTACTGGTAAGAAAATGTCATGGCAAACAGAGCAAGTTATTCTGTTCATGAGATGAGACAGATTCAGGCTCTGTATTGCTTGTATTTCAGGACCATAAAAAAATTATTTCTTCATTTTCTCAGCTATTCCACTGCATAACTTTCATGGTAGGAAAACCACAGCACTTATTTCAAAGCACAATAGCCTAATGTGTGCTTTTAAAAGTACCAAATCTCTCTAGAAAAGATGTTAATGTATTATTACTTTTTAAAACTAAATATATTAAAATATGGCCCAACAAATAATAGTTGCATTTCTTCTTATTCACAGCAGGAAATGTGTTTCTTACCTGTATTTAAGTAATTCTGGTGAGTATTTTGATTTAGCTTTGAAAATCACCTGTAACAAAATGAGACACATATTACACTTACAATGAACAATATAAACATAGCTGGCACTCTCCTGTATTGTTATTATTTTGACAAATTGATATTATTTAAGGCAAGTCATTGGGCCACATACAAGGGGGGGACCCAAAAAAATCTGGAATTTATTTATAAAAAATCATGTATCTCTTTTTACATGTTCAAACTTCAGTCACCTTCAAAGTACTCTCCGTTTGATACAATACACCTATCGAGACTTTTCTCCACTGCTCAAAACAGGTTTTGAACTCATCGATTTTGATGCCTTCTAGTGTGTCTGCTGTTTTTCTTCCCCACCTCTTCCATATCAGCAAAACATTTACCTTTGAGGACATTTTTCATCCGGGGAAACAAAAAGAAGTCATGCGGGGCAAGATCAGGTAAATAGGAAGCGTGGGACAAAGGGTCATACCGTTTTTGTTCAAAAACTGCTGCATACTCAGCTGAACAAAATTTCACCACCACACATTGTTCATGTAAATCAGTCATCACAAAATAGGCAAATGCATTGAAAGAGTCTCAACCCCCCACCCCGCAACTCACTGAAGCTGAATGCAGCCTCTCTCAACAACCCAGCTGGGTACACTGATGCAGGTGGGCTCCTAGAACACTCATCCAGTGGGGGAAGCCTGCACTACAAGGGGTCCACCCTCCAGAAGATAATTCCTGTTTTTTGGGTCTCCCCTAGTATATTAGTGTTATTGGACTTAATTCGCATTTAAAGTAAAATCACTGCATTGCTTCTGGGGTCCCTTTTTACTGCTGATTTGCAAAAATGAATAAATAAACGTGCATTATCCCACTTTTTACTTATTTACAACATGTACAAACTATACCACATCAAAACAGAATCCAGAGCAGTAAACAATGAAAAGATCAAAGAGCTGTTTAATCTTTAAATTAAAGATGTGTTGGTGACATAAGGGTACGTGAGGGGGTGGTCACACGGAGGTGGGTAGAGACCTGTTCTCCCTTGCAGAGGAGGGCAGAACGCGGTCCAATGGAGCAAAGCTCGGGGAACCAAGATGCCAGGAAGCACTTCCTGACAGTTAGGACCCCAAGGGTATAGAATGGGCTTCCATGGGAGGTGGTTGAGGCCCCATTGGTGAGGATGTTCAAAGATAGGCTAGCCATGCACATGGTGGGCATGTTGTGAGCAGAGCCGGCTGGAGCCAGGGGTCAGACTGGATGGCCCGGGAGGCCCCTTCTGACTCTCTCTGTTTCTATGTTTCTATGTTAAACGACATCAAAACAAATTTGGACTTCCCACTGAATGTCCAAGGATTTGCAACAATTCTGTGTTATAAAGGTGCAATTTACAATTTCAATTAAATAAAACCAGGGAAACTGCAGGCACCAAACACCTATCAATGGTCTTGGGGCAGAAAAAAATCCATTGGTCTGCTACCTGAACAATAAAACCACTGTGCTGACAGCCCACCCCTAGGCATGCCACAACTGAGGTACCACCACTCAAAATTCCTTATAGCTAGATGTCACCCACCTTCTCGGTGAAGTTGAGGGCCACACCTAGAGCAGGACCTCTGACAGATGGTCCACACAAAACAAGTCAGAGTCTAGGCTGAATTCACGCTATGACTGAATCATGGACTGTTGTGTAAACACAACTGTGCTTACAGAACATTCATTTCTTTATCATAAACATTCCCCACAAAACCACCTTTGGTTTGCCATTCAATTGCAAACTGTGGGCAATTTGTAGTTAATGCACCATGCTTTGTTAGTACAATTGGGTTCACACAAGAACCCACACTCAACCCTTATTCTGGGTTGTTGTGTTGTGTGAAGCAGGTCACAGGGTAGCTACTTACAGACTACCATAATAAAGGAAATGCATAATTCAAAAGAGGACAAAAGAGGTCAAAGATTTACATTAAATATGTGTATTTTAGTTTAAATTTGTAGGTGCAAGTTTAGCAAGTTTTAATACTAATTTAATTAGAACTCCACTACATCCCACCACAGTGGGATGTACTGTGACTGCTTACTGTGCATGGGTAGCTTCAAAGCCCCTGTTCTCCCTTCTTAAGGTTCTTAAACTTTAATCCAGACTTGGATTGGACAGCCCTCAGAATAGAGGACTGTCCTGTGTATCCAGACCCCAACCCATAAACAGCTCTAAATGTCTTCTTCAATGCCCATGTAACATATAAACAAGTCAACCAAACATATTCAGGTTAACTATCAGGCTGCTGGAGGTTCCAACCCATTTGTAAGGGTAGCCCCACACACAACACTTTGCAAGATGCTAACCTGGAGATCACAAAAACAGGGATAATTCTAGCAAGACTATTATTGTGTCTGAGAGGCCACAGCTAGTGTAATGTGCTTCATGCTATGGCACAGTAAGAGAACCCATGTTTTTTATTTTCTTAGGTTTTCTGCCATCTTATGGTAGAACGGAGAAATACTTCTGTCTGAAATACCTGAAAGCAACTGCCAGTCACTGTAGCCCAGTGGAAGGGAACATGGGACTCTCCAGCGGTTGCTGGGCTGCTGCTCAGTGACAGTATTAGCTGTTACTGACATAGCTCAAGGTGAGAGATGATGGGAGCTGCCATCTTGCCATTATTTACCGTCTTTGTGTGGACACTACTGAGCTACGTCAACCAACTGAGAATAAAGCAGCTTGCTATGTGTTATTTGGGTACCTATCGTAAGCAACAGGTTGCACGGCACATCCACACCATGAACTTGCTCCTTAAGGGGAATGTGACCCTGTCTCAAACAGACTGAAGCGCACACACCAAAGCCACTGAACCACCAATTAACACTGTCAGATGCAAACACATGCAAAGAGCTCAAGGACATGTACCCATAGATCAGGGGTCTCAAACTGAACTTACCTGGGGGCCGCTGGAAGTAGAGTCTGGGTGAGGCTGAGCCGCATCAAGTATTCCACCACCGCGGGGGTGGGGGGCCGCTCATCCCGCGGCTGGCCTGGGCGCCACCGGCACTTTGAAGGCTGCAGGTCCCCTCCCCTGTGCCCCACCCATCCTGGCAATTGGCCCATGGGCTGCATGTTTGAGACCCCTGCCATAGATGCCTTCCTCCTCCCATGTCCTGTTGCCTAGAAGCTTATCTTGGTGCAGGGCAGAGGAAGGCAAAGGTGGAGTGGACTCCTCAACCTTTCCCCTAGGAAGACTTAAGACTAGTGATTCTCAATGGAAAACAAATGGTCTGTCGGAGGTAGACTTGGCCTCCTTCCTATGCCCTTACATTGGGCAAGAGGCACAGCTCACAGGACTCCCTTTGAGCACGGTCTCTCGAATTTGTGAGAATAAGTGCCTGAGTCATTGTGACACCATGACTTCCACCATGTTTGGATTTAACGTATTTATTTGGGATGGCAAGATAGTTCCATTGTTCAGCTGCCTGGGAATACTTCCTGATATATAATTTTAGTCAGCTTGGCTGCAGTCTTTGTTTTCTTTGTCACATTGCTTCAACTTTTTGTGATTAAAAAAATGGTGACAGAGTGGATTAGCCTTATTTACATTGAACCTTATGGGGAAATCTGACTTGGCTCATGACCAATTTGGGTCACGACCAGAGTCATGGAATGGATTAAGTTTGTGAGCCAAGGTACCACTGTATATGAAACTACAAATCATTTTTTCTGTAGACACCTCCTACACAGACACACAAAGCTTGCAGTCTGTCTGATATATACACATTCAGAGTAAGCTATGAAATAGAATCTGGAAAATCTTAACAAACTTGAGTTTTGCTGAATCACCTATGCTTTGTAAGAAGTGAAGTTTAACTTTTTTAACTGTGTGTAAACTGCAAAAGTTTGCACTGGTATGCTTAAACTGCTGCAGTTACTCTCAATGTGTCTCCACTGTATACATATGGTGGAAAAGATGCGAGTAAAAGGAAGATTAACTACTAAATAGTTAAGTGTTCAGCATAAAGTAAAAGTGATATCTACTGGACTTTACAGACAGCATCCATTTGTATTGTTACATACGAGTTGTCCTAGAAAAAACACTTGTTCTGAATAAAGGTCTTCAAATCTGGAGTGGGTAATTTGGATCCTCTAAGTGATCTGGCCTACAGTCCTAGACAGCAAAGCCAGTTGTGACAGCTGATATAAGTGTTAGACTAAACTTCTGAAAGGCCACAAGTTGGCCATCTGAAGAATACTGGCAAATTCCTCATTTTTCTTCTAATCTAAAAATATCCTGTTCCACTTCCTCCTAGCATTTTCCTTACGTATAATATGTTCCAGGCCTCTCGTTCATATTTGTTGCTGTTCTCTGAAACTTGTTTATTTGGTTTCCACCCTTGTAAAAATGTGATGATCAAGCTAGAGTTAGTAGTCTAATAAATGCCTAACCATGCTGCATAAAGGAAAGTTTTTGCTGCTTTGTTAAAAGAACACAAGTAGACAGTTCCACATAAAAGCTCAGAAGGTTGTTCAAGCCAAAATTAAAAGCAGAATATGCAGTCACACAAAGTAGTTTAAATCTGCTTTGCACAAACAAATTAACAAAGGGCACAATTCTATGCACACTTACATAGAAAATGGTCCTACAATTTCCAGTATCCCCCTTTAGCCTGACTGACTACAGATTGCTAAAACCTGTAGGACTTTTTTGGTCTAAACATACATAAGATTGCATCTTAAGACTTAAACATTTTTCAGCTTCTTCAAACAAATTATTTCTTCTGGACATCAAAGACTATTCTGACTATGGTAAAGCAAGATAATAAGAACAGTATAGGCAGAATCCACACTATTTTTTCTTATATTAGCATTCTTATGCATTTTTATTATACAAGTTCTTTGTGAGGGCAAGGACTGAAAAACCAAAAATTAAATTACTATTATAAAGGAGTCTGTCTGCAAACACCTTAGAAACAATGCAGTGATTACTAGAAGCCAACATGGATTTCTCAAGAACAAATCCTGCCAGACTAATCTGATTTCATTTTTTGATAGGGTAA